ATTATTGTGTCAATTTCTCTTCTATACTTCAACCAAGGCAACGGGTCAGTTTTAAATTCATAAAAGACAGATACCACTACAGCATCAACAGGCAAAACAGATACATTCTGCAATGTTGGATAAAAACAGGTAATGCAGTCTGTCTTCTTGAAATAGGAGTCTACAAGATCCCATTTTTCCAGTTTCTTCAAGCTGACGTTAAACTGTTTTGTTTCCATAAAAGTGTCAATTTCTCCAGGGACTTTGCCTTCTGATACAATGTCGGTTGTAGTTTCTATAGCAGACAAGCTTTTCTGTAGAACTTCAACTGTATCAGATGACACTTCCGTAGTCATTTTAGTAATATGTAAAAGTGATGCACTCATTATATTGGATACAGATGTCAGAATACCACTGCTTAACATCTCGCTCTCTACAGAACCAAGACTTTCTTTGCGGTAAGTCAATAGAGAGTTGGTAGCTTCAACCAGCTTATCGACTGCAATTTGTTGAGACTTAAGACTGACTTCCTTTGCCACCTGAGTGAGGTCACTAATACTTGCAATTATCTGGTTTACACCCATAACATTTGTGATCCGTATAGTAGATGACATGTTCAAAAGTCTCTCTCGTAGTTGGGATTGTTTGTCTTTAAGGATATCAGAATCTTTAAAATTATTTAAAATGGACGCTATTGCCTGTATATGAAGCCCAGCCTTTATGAAATCTCCTGTTTCAAGAAAGGTATTCATTGGCGAGCTTGGCCCACTGATCACTGAATTAATTTCCCCAAGAATACTTTCTTTTGGTTTACCTTTATCATAGTCTTTAACAGTGGCAGACAAAGCTGTTTGTGTGTATGAATGAAGAGAGTCATACACTTGAACATACAATGCTAACGAATATCCATTACTTGGTAAACCAATGGGGAGTGTAAAAGGATCCATTTCAGAATTGTACCCAAAATAAGCAATTGCCCCAAACACATTTTTACGCAAAGAACTAATTTTACTTTTTTCATCCAAATATGCTATGACTTTATAGCTAAGAGGTAGGTTGATATCACTAAACCCATTACAATTGACTTTGAATCTAGTTTGCAATGTAAAACCAACAGAGGGGTTTATATCACACCTACCGGCTTTTGGAGGTGAATTAACAAAAAATAAATATTTGAATATTGCCGGGGCACCAGTCCAAGTTGTTACCTTTAAAACAACTGTGTACCAAAGATCAGCAATTTCAACAAATGTTTTGGCTATTATGGACAAGTATGCAATAGATCTGCCAGTCGTTGTCTTAGATGCCCAGTCAAAACCTATCTCTTTTGAACCCTGGTAGAGGGACCATTCATATTGTGGTCGACTGGTTTTGCTGCAATCCAAACACTTTCCTGATAAAGAGAATCGTTCTGTTGGAATTAAAATTTGCCGACAGTTTTCAATGCACACTACACTTATAAGTGGTGGGATACCCGGCGAGACAAATACAGTCTGGTCAGAATAACTTGTTTTTTTACCTTTGCTAACAACCAAGCGAAAATGGTATTCTTTATTGCCTTGAAGTAGTTCAGGCTGGACAGTTTGTAAAATTGCACCTGGATTTAACCAAGCAAGGTTGGTCTGATCTTGATGGCACATTGTATTTTTACTTACTTTCATCAAATCATAGTCTGATATTTGTTTTGTACAATACCATGTAAATGACAAGCCTTCTAATGGATCTGGGGAATCTGGATCGGAGGAAGAACTCCCATTTAGAGTCCAGGATTCACCGAAACCAACCGTCCTAAAAGATCCACCAGAAATAACAGACTTAAGATCACTCTCCTCTACAGCAACAACCACTGAATCAGTATTCATTTGCAATTCATCTTCATCATCACTTGTTTCAATATCTATGGAGACATTGAATACGTAAAATCCATAGTTCAAAGTAAACTTGGGGATTTCAATACTACTCTGATTAATTGGAGATATCTGAGGCAGATTTAAGTAATCATCCCATACAGGTATTGAGGAGGCACTGGTAACTCTATATATTCTCCACTGCATTTTTATATCTTCATAAGCAGGACAGTTTAACTGTATGGACACAAAAATGGACAAGTGTGAACCTTTTGTTGTTACAATATAAGATGGAAACTTTGGTTTTTTGATACTAAATATGAGGATGATACACGGCACTCTGTAACAATAAATTGTCGTTTCTAATACCTTACTGGCATACAAGCCGACTTTTGTTTTTAAAACAACAGGCTTTAAGCCACTTTTGGTAAAATTCACTTTGGCTACAAAACCTGTATGGAGTTTCACATCAAATTCCAATTTGGAATTTGGGATGTATGATGCTGCATTCGCAACTGAATCTTGATAGGTGTAGGTGGTATTTCTGAACAAGTATTTTTTCTTAGAACCATATATTTCTAAATTAAAGGTCCATTCACACTGCAAAAGTGCATGTTGTATTGGAATAAACCAGACAATATAAAACATTGTGAACAAGAGTGCAGGGCCACTATTGAAAAAGTAAACGTCTATATCCACATCTGACAGTGATCTGTACAACGTGTTATTTTTGTTTAGATACAAGTGTGCCGAAAGGGTGAATGTCTTTGATTCTATCACTTTAATTTGAAAAAGAAACCTCAGGCTTTCTTGTTGACAAAAAATAAAATGAGTACTAGAACCAGCTTCTACGTCTTCCCGTCTAGAGAAATAATAAAGTCCACTGGCTTCACTGAAATAATACATGTTGTATTGAGCGTCTTTTTTATTTAGGCTCACGTAGCCGAGATTTTTTGTCGTAGTGAGTGAAATAATACTCTTAATCACATCAAATTGACCACTGAGTTCCTTGACTGCACTTTGATTTACCAGAAAATGTAGTCTAATGACTTTGTATCCGGTAGTACTTAAGGGAGGAGAGCAGAAAACAGTCTTCACTGCGTATTTGTTGACTTTCAGGTCCCACGTCCCTACACTAAATTGTTCTGTGAGCTGGAATGCCACCACTTTGCCAGTTAAAGGTAAAAGAGTCCACGTTAATCTCACATCAGTGGCCTGGCTGAGTTGGTTTGACGTGGCGCTAAAAAGATGGAGCAGGGTCTGCTTTATATCTATGGATATTGTAAGTTCAGCCACAGGTCCATTAGGAATGGCTAGAGATGCCACATACTGACCAGCTTCGTTGTAGCTCACGTTAAACTTATAATTGTAGTAACTGGCGCACTTTTGGAGGAGGCCTGCTGGATAATCCGTGTCCTTGATCTCTATGTGGTAATTGCTGGGAATAATGACCGGCTGGGCCCCTTTGTAACCAGAGAAGCTATATTTCCATCCCGTGCTCTTCATTTTGGCACACCAGCCAAACAACACCAAGTCATATTGATTGAGGGGCCCAATTGGCGAGATGATGAAGAACTGGATATCTTGGTTGGCCACCGAGATGGCTAGTTCCTGGTGTAGACAGGCTGGCTTGACGCACCACACGGAGGTACACTGCACGGCAACGTTGCCCCCGGCGGGGACGCTGGCCGTTTCCTGGCCTGACCACTGTGACGTGTCTCGGAACCACACCTTGTCCTTGTACCACGCACACGAGGGGGCCGCACTGGCCCTTTCCTCCGAGGAGAGGGCCGGGGACGGACTATAGGACAGCAGGAGGTTGGCCCTCCATAGACAGGAGGACCTGATATCGGTGTCCTGGCGGGTGTACACCTTCCCCATGGTGTCTGAGCAGGAGAGATCTAAAGGTGGAGGCTTCACTATCTGAGCCACACTCATCAGCAGGACCAGAGCAACCACAAGCAAGCCATGGACAGCCAGGAGCATCCTCCCTCCCCCAAAATGGAGGCTACATCTCCTGAGAGCACGTGGCCTCACTATTGGACAGCCGTTTCCCGCACTTTAAAGGCCACGCCCATGAGGGCGGAGTCATGATGTCGATCTTCCAACCGCCCAGTACATCACCTCAGCCGGCTGTAGCCCCTCCCCTCTGGCAGTGTAACCCTTACAGCCCACGTGGTATTTGTCACCGCCCTCGACCGTCACATGTCTGCACTGTAACATGCCAGTACACTGCCCATAACAAACATGGCGGCGGGAGCTTCGCGGGCTCACATGTATGCTGTCAGCAGAGCAAGGACTCTGATATTTATTAATATTATTAAAAAAAAAAGGACATTCCCCCCCACATATAATCCTCAGACCCCCCAATACTCTGTATAGCACCCCATATAATCCTCAGCCCCCCATACTCTGTATAACAACCCATATAATCCTCAGCACCCCCATACTCTGTATAGCACCCCATATAATCCTCAGCCCCCCATACTCTGTATAAATCCCTCAGCCCCCATACTCTGTATAGCACCCCATATAATCCTCAGTCCCCCCCCATACTCTGTATAGCACCCATATAATCCTCAGACCCCATACTCTGTATGGCACCCCATATAATCCATAGACCCCCATACTCTGTATAGCACCCCATATAATCCTCAGACCCCCAGCCTGTATACCCTTCATGTAATCCTCAGACCCCATACTCTGTATAGCACCACATAATCCTCACCCCATACTCTGTATAAGCACCCCATATAATAATCCTCAGCCCCATACTCTGTATAGCACCCCATATAATCCTCAGCGCCCCCCTACTGTGCTCAGCCCTCCCTTCCCCCGTGGGTATCTACTAAATTATCAATTTTATCGTACACAGACTTAAGGCCCCCACTTACCAGCTCACTCCTGTATCCTCCCCCCATGTCAGCCATGCCTCCTGTATCCTCCCCCCTCCTATCAGCCGTGCCTCCTGTATCCTCCCCCCTCCTATCAGCCGTGTATCCTCCCCCCATGTCAGCCATGCCTCCTGTATCATCCTCCCCCACAGCCATGCCTCCTGTATCCTCCCCGCTCCTATCAGCCGTGCCTCCTGTATCCTCCCCCCCATGTCAGCCGTGCCTCCTGTATCCTCCCCCCCATGTCAGCCATGCCTCCTGTATCCTCCCCCCCATGTCAGCCATGCCTCCTGTATCCTCCCCCCATGTCAGCCATGCCCCCTGTATCCTGGATGGGTGACCCTGGGACCCAGGATAACAAACCCTCCACGCACAGCCTGCACTTACTGAGTGTGAGCATGGCCACTGACTGCCTGAGGGACTGCAAGGTGAGTGTTCCTCACTGTGAATATACCCTCAATCCCCAGTCACCAGCCATTAGCTGCAGGGCCAGCACACACAGCTCAGCTCTTGGCCTGATTAAACCCAGGCAGGCCAGGGTGTGTATGTGCTGTGCTATGGCATATGTTGGTGCTTTATGTATGAATCCTTCTTGAAAGGAAAGGTTATGAATAACTGATCCAGGATTCCAGCTGTGATCCAAAGGCTCCTGCAGGGTTAATGGCCGAAGCTCAGGTCAAAAAAAGCAGAATATGTTTCACTAAAATCTTAACAGAAGTGAATGAAAATATAATTGGTAAAATCAAAAATAGCCAAGTGAAACCATAGTATTCTCAGAATACACTATTTTGGTTTAAATTGAGTAGTTTGGGGAATTAAAATACTATAGAATACAATATATAATTTGTAGTGTATTAGCTCTATTTTGCCTATATTTTCCCGTGTAATATGTATCTCCACTTTTCCCAATGAGCTGCTGATCAAATACACACCATAAAGTTACAATATATCCAACGACGTAACTATAAGGTGCCTCAAAGATTCACTTTCTGTACTCTTTGTTTCAGTATTGTGTACCTGTAAGATAAATAACACACAATAGTAAATATAATATAGTGTCAAGGAAACACTCACATATCACTGAGCTATAGAGTATAGCTCAAGTGGTAATAGCCTTTGGGGCTGTTAAGGCAACCCTCCCCTTCTTCTGAAGTAGGTTTTCTTTATTCTGTCCTGTATATATTTTCACAGAGTAGACCAATATAGTGCAATATTGTAGTATATCTAGGATTACTTGATAAGTGAATACTTACAAACCAGGAGCCTGAGATAAGGCTCAAATAGAATCGCATATGTGGTTAAGGACCACACTCCTTTAAAATAGCAGGACAAGTAAAGTGCCGTAAGTGCAAATATAAAACAATTTGTTTATTGTAAATAAAAATCCAAATATAAAAGAATATATGCATTAAACACTTATCCGGCAAGGTCCAAAAAAAAAAAAAAGGTATGCTCACTGTCCCCAGGACACGTTTTGCCAGTAAATAATCGGCTTCCTCAGCTGGGTGAAAAATAAGTCTCTCTCCCATATACAGTATATTTTAGCGTAAATTTTGCACTTGCCCTGTAATTCTCAATTTTGTGAATACACGCCCAGCTATCCATATGATATATTAAAACCGTGCATAAGATATTAAAATGAAAACGCAACCCCCTGACTATTTGTCATCCATGTCCCCCCACTGTATTTTTTTTGTCCCCTGTTTTTACCATGAAAATGGTCTCTGTTTTTGCCACCGTATCTTCTTCCTATCTAGTACCATAGTCCGTAAAAAGGCTTTTATACAATCATCCCTCCCGTCCTACCCCTCTGTGACTTGAATTTAGCACAGGCTCACAAGTGACCAGAGTGACACAATGGGCAGGTAAGTATGCTGGAAAAAATACATTTGATAATTCTTGGAGCTCTCCTTAAGTTCCGCCTTTTGTCAAGCATGGAAAAATACGTAAGGCAAAGAGGTCCCTACTTTACCTTATGTATTTAAAGAAACATAGAAGAGAAAAGAAGTATGACACGAGAGACAGGAAGAAAAGACTCAATTTGAGGAAAGGTAAGTACGCCATGACAGAGCCACTTTACCATATTCTTATTGTAGTGGTTATGGTGTAAGGTGCTGCAGTTACCTATAAATACAGCTATGAGCATGTCCCTTTTTCAGTTAAAGCGTCTGAGAAGGAAGCTATACTTCATAGTGCAGTTAAAAATGGTGGTTTTGTTGTACGCTCTCAGTTCAGGAGGATCCGAAGAGAGGCTGTGCATTGTCCCATTCATTTAATTTTTTTTGAGAATCCTTTATATATTGACATTTTATAAAATCAAGACAATAAATATATATATATATATCAGTGGCGGATCCAGAGCCTGATCTCGGGAGGGGCACTTGTAGATTATTTAAAGAAATAATCCAGACACAATAACTACTACAGCTCAGTGTAGTGGTTATGGTGTCAATAGTGCCGGGACCCCCTCCTAGAGTAAGTAGTCAAACCGTTTAAGAACAGTTTGACAACTTACCTGAGGTCTGCTGGGAAATGGGGCGGTAGTAGGGCATAGGAGCAGTGGTGTGTGTGAGTGGTGCAATGTGTAAGGGGTGCAGTGTGTGTGTGTGTGAGGGGGGCAGTGTGTGAGCAGTGTGTGTGTGTGTGTGAAGGTTGTAGTGTGTGAGTAGGGGGGGCAGTGTATGTCAGGGATGCAGTGTATGTGTGGGACAGTATGTGTGTGTAACAGTTGCAGTGTGTGTGTATGGGGCGGCAGTGTATGTGGGCAGTGTGTGTGTATGCGGGGCAGTATGTGTGTATGAGGGCAGTATGTGTGTATGGGGGGCAGTATGTGTGTGTGGGGCAGTATGGTGGGGGGCAGTATGTGTGTGCTGGGGCAGCATGGGGCAGTATGTGTGTACATGGGGGGGCAGTATGTGTATGGGGGGGCAAGTATGGGGGCAGGCGTGTATGGGGGCATGGGGGGCAAGTGTATAAAGGGGTATGCATGGGGGACAGTATGTGTGTGTTGGGGGGGCAGTATGTGTATGGGGGCAGTATGGGGCAGTATGTGTGTACAGGGGGGGCGGGGGGGGTGGCATGTGTATGGGGAAAGCATCAAGTGCATGTGTGTATGGGGGGGGTTAGTATGTGTTTATGGGGGCAGAGTGTAGGGGCTGTATGTGTGTGTATGATGGGGCAGCATGGGGCAGTATGTGTGTATGGGGGGGGCATGTGTATGGGGGGGCAGCATGGGGGGCAGTATGTGTGTATGGGGGGGCAGCATGTGTATGGGGGGCAGTATGTGTGTATGGGGGCAGTATGTGTATGGGGGCAGTATGTGTATGGGGGGGCAGTATGGGGGCTATGTGTGTGTGTTAAGGGTAGGGGGGGGCTTTTTTAAATATATATCTTTATTTAATTAAAAAAAAAAATATGTCCCCCCTCCCTTCTTACCTTTATTGAGGAGGAGGGGGGACATATTTTCATCCCTGGTGGTCCCAGTGGGGATTCCCTGGTGGTCCCAGTGGTTACAGTGAACTCTAGCCCGCGCTCCCGGGCTAGAGTTCACTCTCGCGAGATTTGGAGCGTTGCCAACGCTACAAATCTCGCGAGAGGAGGACCCGGAGGAGCTGCAGACTGAGCTCCCGGGTCCTCCCTCTCACTCCCTCCCTCCCCTGCCGGCTGTCAGCAATGTGCCTGCGGACCGGGGAGGGAGATCTCCGATCTCCCCTCCGGTCCGCAGGCACATTGCAGGGCTAGCACCTGCATGTGCTGCTGGCAGGGGAGGGAGACCGGCGGATTTCTCGGGGGGGGGGGCAATTGCCCCGTTGCCCCCCCCCTGGATCCGCCAGTGATATATATATATATATACACAATATATCCCATTGTACAGCGCTACAAAATTTGCTGGCGCTATACAAGTAATATAATATACTAGTACAAAAATGTACTTTTTACACTGGTGATGACCTGTTCTAGTTGTTAACACAGAAAGTATACGAACAATGTATTGAGCAAAAGGGAAAATAGTTTATGCTTTAACTGTATAATTGAAAAAGGGACTCTGTTCCAGTCTAAAATGCCTCTTTAAAGGGCTGTCTTGGCATGATAACCATTTCATCTCATTGAATTGGTTATAATAACTAGATTCCTCTGCTGCTGTCCCTCCATTCAGTATTAAATCATTTTTGAGCAGTTTAACACTAAATTGGGGTGCCTGACCACCCTGTGGCTAAGGCAGAGATTACACGAAAAAAAAAAAAAAAGGAAACGAATACGCCGAAATCTTATCACATAAGGGAGGAGAGGGCTCCCTGGATATATATATATCGGTATCTTAAGTAATGGTGTGATCTCTGGTGGAGACAAATGTAACAAAAACCTAACTTGTAAGCAAAATGGCTATATACATAAATTCCTTCGCCTTGTAAGTCTATTCCTATATTAGAGGAGACAGGTCTACCACACAGTATACATGACTGGCTTAATTGTTGGTAAAACGTAGGTCCAGTGTAAGGTACATTCTTTATGTATATTAGTCAGATTTGAGCAAAGATCACAGTATGTGTTTTAAATATACAAAATAATCATGCCAATAGTATCGATATTACTAGCATGTGTTACATTTGATGTTATGATGGTAATTGCAGGATCGTCCCAATATATTTGGAAAGATATTGGTCTGTCAAGTGCTGTGCTTAATACAGAGTCAAAGGGTGTGTTAAAGGACCACTATAGTGCCAGGAAGACACTTGTTTTGCCCCAGGGACCCCCTCCCGTCGGGCTCTGGGGAGAGGAAGGTGTTAAAATCTTACCTTTCTCCAGCGCCGGGCGGGGAGCTCTCCTCCTCCTCTCCAGCTGAATGCGCATTCAGCCTGTCTCATAGGAAAGCATTCATAATGCTTTCCTATGGACGTTGGCGTCTTCTCACTGTGATTTTCACAGTGAGAAGCACGCAAACGCCTCTAGCGGCTGTCAATGAGACAGCCACTAGAAGCTTTAGAGGCTGTATTAACCTATTTATAAACATAGCAGTTTCTCTGAAACTGCTATGTTTATTTAAAAAAATTTTTTTTTTTAAATTAACCCTAGCTGGACCAGGCACCCAGACCACTTCATTAAGCTGAAGTGGTCTGGGTGCCTATAGTGGTCCTTTAACTCAGCATGGATGGTCTTCGCATAGACTGGGAAGAAGGGGATATAAGGAGGAAAATTTTAATAATCCTCTCCCTTTAAATCTGACTAGATAGAAAAATAGGAAGAAATGCTTGCAACAGAAACTTAAATTACTTACAAACTAGCTATATACATAAACAACTTTGCCTTAGAAGGCTATTCCGACACCTGATGTGACAGCTCTACTTAACAGTGTACATGACTGGCTTTATTAAAAATCTGCCAATATGGGCCTGTTATAAGGTAGATCTTTCTATTTCTGTTTAAGATGGAGAAAAAAAGTGTATCCAGGTGGTACAAAATAGCAATAATGATAATAGTGTCTAGGATACTAGCACGTGTTGCAATGGTATTTGCAAGTTAGTCCAATGAAAAATATATGCATATATCTAATTCTGTGCTTAATGCAAAAACAAAAAAGTATGTAAGCTCAGCATGTATAGTCTTAGTATGAAATAACAGAAAGGGATATAAAGGGATAAAATGATAGTAAGCCTCTCTCCCTGTAAATCTAACTAGATCGGAAATAGAAAAAAAAAAAAAAAGATTAAATTAGCAGCAGATCACTCAGTCGGTGTCTAGTTAAAAATGTTTGGATATAGCTAAACATGTATAAGGTGCCCAGATAAAGTAATAAACACCATGCCCATCGTGAGATTAGCGATAACCTGACACACATTTCTGTGCATAGAAGTGTGCACCTTCATCAGAGGAGACATTCGAAATGCAGTCTGTTCGCTTTATAAAGGAGTATCCCATGTGGTCTCAATTAGCAGAGCCAATGGATGGAACCTCCCTATTCGGATGAAATTAGTCGGTCGTTGACTCCCCTGTCTCATGGAGCCAATTACCTTACTTAGCCAAGTAGTATGGCATTTTTGTGTAAATGAATAAAAAGTAAATGAAGATTACCGACACTCCAACCCATGCCAAACTTCTCCCGGTACGATCCCGAGACCCCACAGGCACGATGGGCAGAAAAACTAAAAAAGCAAGACATGACAAGCCCCGACAGGGCATGGATATCGGAGAGTTATGGAGGCAGGCACACGATGCTGCAGGAGCCAAGATGGCGTCCCTGCACGGCGGCTGCTCAGATTTCACGGATGGATCCGCAGAGGATGACGGGGGAGACCCCATGGGGTCCATGCCGACCCAGTCACCACCCAGGTGCAGCCATTCACGAAGCCTCACACCCCTGTCACAATGGAGGCGATCGGAGCACTTATGGCCGACCATCACAAGAAAATTGCAGATGTAGCCCTGCTCAGAGAGGACATTAAAGGCATCACCAACAGGCTGGGAGCAGTAGAAGCCTCCTCCACCGGCCACACCAACCAGATTGCCGTCCTCCAAGAAGCAATCCGAGACCTGCAACAAAAAGCTCGGCATCAAGAACAGCAACTCGCCGCTCATGAAGATAAAAATCGTCGGAACAATATAAAGCTGAGGGGGGTAGCCGACACAGTTCCAGAGACCGAACTCCCACACTTCGTTAGATTACTTACAGAGCTACTAACCCCAAAAGCAGCAAAAGCAACCGCCTTGGAAGGCATATTCCGCATACCGCGTCCAGCAAAGGCCCCACCAACAAGGGACCTAATTCTCCAATTTCAGTCACTCAAGGATAAAAAAGCAGTCCTAGAAACCGTTAGAGGACAGCCCACATATCCCTTTGAGGGAATGACCCTCTCATTTTACGCGGACCTGTTGGGAGGGACACTGGCATACAGGAGACACATGAGCCCATTCACAGCTCTCCTGTGCCTCCAACAAATCCGGTACCGCTGGGGACCAGGTCGCACCCTCACCATTAAAGCAGGAGGTAACAAACACACTCTCCACGACATGCAAGAGGCTACTGGGACGTTGAGTCTACTTGGCCTCCCCACGGACTCACTGGCACCGATGACACGACCAGCAGGCCCAACGCGCCCACAATTACTCAGCCGAGGCCCCGGAGTTTGTACCCCGGAGAACAACCACGGATCCATATGCCACAGCCACCACTTGAAACAGGACATACCTTGCAGGACTTGCATGGGGAACTGTACAACACTACCAATACCCCCTGACAGCCCGAGAGTCTGACGTGTGCACCATGGGGGGGGGGGGGCGCCAACACTATGACTAACATAGTTGAACTACATTTCATTTTTCACCTTTTTTTTTTTTTTTTAAATCATTTTCTGTTACTTCTATGGGCCTTAGCTCACATACCTGAACAGCCAGCCTTGGTTTGAGACACCAGTCAGTTGGTCCTATTGTATGTCTATACATTAGCCATGTAACCTCAACACACATAACATGATGCCTTAAAGGATTACTATTATATTAATTTATGGTGGACGACACAGCTCAGGCACCTATGTCAACATTTTCACCCTCCACTCATGAGCATATTAAACCCACTGTGACATCTCATGTAAGCCACCGGCACCAGAAATCTGTCACCACACATACTCTTGTCACGGAGGAACGCCAGGCTTGCTGCAGACTCCCCACTCATACGCATAGGCCCAACTTTCACAAGCAGGCTATTAAAGCCACACATAAGTAACTTTTAGCTATTAATGAATAGCCTCTACACATTGAATGCCGTTTAGCGCCTACAAAAATTAACCCACTCCAAACGCACGGTATATAGGCCTAGACTATACCATAGGGCATGTCTACACTGGACTTTGGTCTTACAGTGGGACTACCGTGGTGAGAGCGGGAGTGGGGTGATCCACACATACAGGACTCTGAATACAGCATTAAGCCAGTCCCTTATATGTATATACAAATTACCCAGCGTACCATTATTACATCTATAGCACCAAGACACACGTCTCCACAGTCTCATAGAAATGCCGCCCAGGCTAACCATGAATAGCTTGTCTTAATTCTGTTGTACAGCCTATACATGTATGCTCCTATCAAGGTATTAACTAGCCTTTACATACCTGGCGAGCCCACATAGTCAGACGCATACGCATCTACTACAGTCAGACAAGAGTACTATGTTCCTCGATTGTGGATAAGCCTGTTTTACGTTTTACATGCCCAGTGTACACCAGCTGACTTGCATGCCTACCTTACCTTTACTGTTATATTCATGAATGTTAACCTCATAATTTGCCTAGCCTGAACTAAATCACGACAAGTTATGTTTAAGTTTGAATCCACGTTCTCTTCACATGACTATGCCTAGTGTTGGCTAATGTATGCACAACCTACTATTTACCTTGTTTCTGATATACCATAAAATAGGGCAATGTTTTGCTTTGTATCGTAGTCAGCATTGGGTAGGCTCGCTCTCGCATAATCAGTTACATCGGAAAGGTAACATTTGCTTCATAGCATCTTAATCCATCTTGTTAAAAACAGGATTCTATTAAGCGACTCACAAAACGGAACCAGCTACACTAGTTAGCTGGTAGAGTTACCATTACACTAGACAGAGCATCTTAATTTTATTCCATAAGCAGAAAGTTAAGCAACATTATTTCATTTCATTTCATTTTATATTATGTTATGAATATGCCTAAGTAATGACGATCGATACCGCATAACTCAACCTTATAAAAATGTGCAAGAGCAACCCTGTACCTCTATGTTTAAATGTTTTATAGTGCGCTGAAGGATTGCCTTTGGGGTACCTCACAAGCGATTGTACTAAGCTTATCCACTACAAAAAAAAAGAATTAAAAAAATAAATAAATAAAGTAAATGAAAAAAATTCAAAGGATGTATCCAAGTTATTGAAAACATTAGTTGTCGGAATTCAGAGTTCCGACTTAGAGGAAATGAAAGGCTACCTATAAATGTGATCAGTAACAGTAATAACAAGTCTTAATTTACGACTAAGGATTGATCTAGGACAATATGATTCATTGTAAATGTATCGGTAGAAACATCACTATTATGAGTCCATCAAGACTGGTTAAGCCGATCAAATGATATAATCTCCCATGGGTATAGCAATAAAATTTCAAAATGTGTTTAAAACTTTAAATTAATATATTGGGAAATCCATTTCAGTGTTTGACATTTATGTTAAAGCCGATTTCCTTATTTATTTGCTTATATATTGCAAAGATTCACAGGGGTTCACATGAATAACAAATGCAAGGCACATCAATCCATCTCCAGTTCATCGCTTGATAGTTTAAGCTGTGGAATCCCATATTAATAGCCAGGGTAGATTTACTTAATATAGATACCATTTGCAAAGTGTTATTAATCAATCCCTGACAAGTCACTTCATGGATTCAATTATTTAGATTATTTATTAGGAATTAAGGTTAATTTCCTTTATGTATAATGTTATATCATAATGTCTGTTGTAAATTCATGGAGGTTAGTGTGGATAGCTTGTGCAAGGCATGTTAATCAATCTATGAAACACCGCCTGATGGATTTAGTAATGAAATTCTTCTGACTATAGATTATTACCGGTTTGTGAATAATTATTAACTCCCTCTGATGGATTGATTTATTATACTGCATCCTTAAAGTGGTATAGTAGCATTTTAAGTAAGAAGTATTGGATGTGAGGGAGGATATGGGACATGTGTCTAGGGAAGTAAATGTGGTTAGAATAAAATAAAATTGGGTCATAGAGTTATGTAATGTTACCATAATGTCTAATGTATGTGCACACCAAAAGATACTGGTGTAAAATGTATACAGTGCTTGAGTTATGAAAAATATATATTTATGTACAGATTATTGATCAGAAATGAAAAAAGTATAAGAGAATCCTTCATTTAGGCCCAATGGAGATAGCATTTTTAGTTGGTATATCCTGAAGCTCTCTCTCTGTAAGAGCTTTTTGTCAATATCACCTTTCCTGGGTCCCAATGTCCATTTTTCGATGCCGCTGAATCCCAGTCCTTCCAAGGGACCCTTGTGTTTTAATTTAAGATGTCTAGAGATTGGGGTGTCGGTAAGCCTGGAGGGATTGACTGAGTTGACATGTTCCAGTATGCGCTTTTTAAAGGCACGACAAATTTTACCTACATAAAGTTTTTGACAACTACAAGTCAGGAGATAAGGCAGAGATTACACACTTCACTCTACCCATACCGGTTCATACTAGCAATGGGCCCTGTGATAGGTTGAAAGCAGTCAGCTGAAACTCTCAGCCAATCACAGCCATCCATTCTTGCTCAGGCCAATGCTTCCTCTTTAAAGGACCACTCTAGGCACCCAGACCACTTCAGCTTAATGAAGTCTGGGTGCCAGGTCCAGCTAGGGTTAACCCATTTTTTTATAAACATAGCAGTTTCAGAAAAACTGCTATGTTTATGAATGGGTTAAGCCTTTTCCCATTCCCTCTAGCGGCTGTCTCATTGACAGCCGCTAGAGGCGCTTCCGTGCTTCTCACTGTGATTTTTCACAGTGAGAGCACGCCGGCATCCATAGGAAAGCATTGATAATGCTCTTGCCGCGCGTGCGCATTCAGCCGACGGGGAGGAGAGAAGGAGGATCGGAGGAGGAGAGCTCCCCACCCAGCTCTGGAAAAAGGTAAGTTTTAACCCCTTTCAGAGCCGGACGGGAGGGGGAACCTGAGGGTGGGGGCACCCTCAGGGCACTATAGTGGTCCTTTAAACCACCCGGCACAGAGGGGACGGGCTGCTGGGGACTTGTTCATTATGAAAACGGTTTAATACTGAATGGAAGAACGGCACCAGAGGACACCACACAATATAACTACATCAGTGAGAGGAAGCAGTTACAGTTTTACCATGTCCCTTTTAATCTGTTTAATTAAGATAATATTTAATCCAAGCAGCTTGAATTCTGTGTGATCACAGGTAAATGATTAATTATCCAAAATTTTAGTTTAGTAATGTTTAATCCTGGCGGCTGACAATCAGAATTAAATGAGATGAGTGGCAGTTAATTTTATGTTAATGCAAAGTACCGGTAACTCCCAATTTGCTTCTAGGTGAAAGTATGTGTAATTCCTACATATTTCAACATCTTCACCACAAAACAGGCCCGTTGAGGGAAATGTAATACATCTGGCACTGTTACGGCTTTGCCAGTCAGTGCAAATTACTGTATAATTAGCGTGTGTGTGTCTGCTGAATAATGTGACGTCCCCCCCCTGATACCAGCACTGTGTGTTTTTCCTGATAATGTAACCCCCCGATACCAGCACTGTGTGTGTCTCCTGATAATGTAACCCCCCTGATACCAGCACTGTGTGTGTCTCCTGATAATGTAACCCCCCTGATACCAGCACTGTGTGTGTCTCCTGATAATGTAACCCCCCATACCAGCACTGTGTGTGTCTCCTGATAATGTAACCCCCATACCAGCTCTGTGTGTGTCTCCTGATAATGTAACCCCCCCATACCAGCTCTGTGTGTGTCTCCTGATAATGTAACCCCCCATACCACTGTGTGTGTCTGCTGATAATGTGCCCCATACCAGCACTGTGTGTGTCTGCTAATAATGTAACCCCCTCATACCAGCACTGTGTGTGTGTCTCCTGATAATGTAACCCCCTCGTATACCAGCACTGTGTGTGTTCGCTGGATAATGTAACCCCCTCAAAACCAGCACTGTGTGTGCTCTCCTGATAATGTGACCCCCCCCATACCAGCTCTCTGTGTGTCTCCTGATAATGTGATACCAGCTCTGTGTGTGTCTCCTGATAATGTAACCCCCCATACCAGCTCTGTGTGTGTCTGCTGATAATGTGCCCCCCCATATCAGCACATTGAAAATGTGTCCTTCAATACTAGAAGTGTGTATATTCTCCCCCCACCCCATCAGTTAATACCATTATTGTCTTGTTTTGGTTTAATAGGCTGCTGTCTAATGTTATTATTTATATGATGGCAGCAAATTTCATACCACACCACCTATAAATGTATGAGATACTTTGCATAAACAACTTTTTTTCTCTCTCAAATCTTTGTTAATACAAAAGATTCAGAGAGGGTGAAGGCTGGGGGTGTTATTTGAGTATTACAAGGTCTGTCTTAAAAGAGGTAAAATAAAACTCTCAGTTTAGCGGTTAGCCCCATTATATCCGTGAAGCTGCGGAATGCCAGTTTGCATGGCCAGTCCTACAGCTGATCCCTGACAGTGCAAAGCTTAAAATCAGACATTCTATCACAGTTAAAGAGCTCATCGGCTGACAGCCTTTCCTTTTATTTTATTTTTTCCTCATCTTATTTTAAAAGAAACTGTTACGATTATAAATACAGTAAGACAATAAACATAAACCACTTTGACATACAATTACACCGTTACATACATTGTTATTGAGAAGAAGAGTATAATGGCTAACAGTCTATCTATACTTGTTGAATATTGAATTTATACTTTGAGTTGCCCTTAATTAGTAGTCAAAGCTCTAAGATAACGATCTTTATGCTAATGAGTGCCAGGTTGTTCTGTTTAACGCATTGTTCCTTGTTATTCTCTTGTAGGCCTGGGATGATGCTGGCCTGTCACTTTCCACAACAAGCAATGAAGCTTGCAAGCTGTACGATGCCAGTTTGATTCAGGTATACTATCATGTAATACGTCAATGTTTCTTAGTCACAAAAGGAGTGCACTACAAATGTAACTCCATTACTTTCACTGAATATACATGCTATTAGAATTTCTCTGTGTGTTTCAGTTTTTAATCTCCATCTAATTTATTTTATATTGTGTCAGATCCAGGCAATTTGTACGCTTCTTCTTTACAAATACATAAAGATTATTTTAACATTGGATTGGACATATTATGATCTTTCTTAAACCCAAGCCTCCAATTTCAACAATTAGCTCTTGAAATATTGGTGGACAGCTTATGGTAGTTCCAGAAACACAGCTGGGGTCACATTTTAGAAATTGTAGACTTAAAAAAAAAAAAGCTTAACAACTACGGTTGAACATTCTTGCATAGCATAAGAGAAAACCGCCTTTAAATAATCACCCCATCTTTGTGTTTACCAAGGGTCTTGTATACAATTATTAGTTTTGTATTACATAACGTGCCTCATAATTGTAGCAAAGTAGAAAATTGGGGGGAGTAAACATCTATTCAAGAGGCGGGGGAATGATTTCCGTAATTTGTGGTGTTTATTCACTAACACAGTTTAAACTTTAGACCAAAATTGCAACATTGAATATATTTCCCAATGTTTAAATTTGATTATCATATTTACTAGTTGATTTTGGAATCAAATTAATTATTAAGGTCTTTCCATGTGAATAAACAGATTTACAGGAACTCAGCGTCTTATTCACATGGTAAAGGGAGACTAGGTAGTGTTCAGGGTGAATGGTACAATTCTCCTGTAGAACATACATATTCTTGTCATTCTCGTGGTGAACTGGCAATTTCTGTGGTTGAATACAAACATTCAGTTTGTCAGAGGCAGATTCTCAGAGTTTAATGGTGACTGGACAAAAGCTAAGAGGGACAGTAGTATAAAACCCCTAAGCAGGCTCTTCCACTCCCTCTTTCTTTGCTGCTGCCTCCAGGTGAGCACTGACCAACTCAGAGTTGTCTCTGCTCTTGGTTGTTGTTTTATCCTACATGCTGCTTGTTTATTTAATCAGTCTATTTGTTAGGTTTGTTTAGGCAGCTTAATTGCTGGTTTTATTTTAGGCAGGGTTCTTGCTGGATTTGTTTTAACAGTTTGTCTGCTGGGTTTATCTAGGCAGTCTATTGCTGTGTTTATCCAGGCAGTCTATTGCTTGGTTTAGCTAGGCAGTCTATTGCTGGGTTTAGCTAGGCAGTCTATTGCTGGGTTTAGCTAGGCAGTCTATTGCTGGGTTTAGCTAGGCAGTCTATTGCTTGGTTTATCTAGGCAGTCTATTGCTGGGTTTATCTAGGCAGTCTATTGCTGGGTTTAGCTAGGCAGTCTATTGCTGGGTTTAGCTAGGCAGTCTATTGCTGTGTTTAGCTAGGCAGTCTATTGCTGTGTTTAGCTAGGCAGTCTATTGCTGTGTTTAGCTAGGCAGTCTATTGCTGTGTTTATCCAGGCAGTCTATTGCTGGGTTTATCCAGGCAGTCTATTGCTGGGTTTAGCTAGGCAGTCTATTGCTGGGTTTAGCTAGGCAGTCTATTGCTGGGTTTAGCTAGGCAGTCTATTGCTGTGTTTAGCTAGGCAGTCTATTGCTGTGTTTATCTAGGCAGTCTAGTGCTGGGTTTAGCTAGGCAGTCTATTGCTGGGTTTATCTAGGCAGTCTATTGCTGGGTTTATCCAGGCAGTCTATTGCTGGGTTTATCCAGGCAGTCTATTGCCGGGTTTAGCTAGGCAGTCTATTGCCGGGTTTAGCTAGGCAGTCTATTGCCGGGTTTAGCTAGGCAGTCTATTGCCGGTTTAGCTAGGCAGTCTATTGCCGGGTTTATCTAGGCAGTCTATTGCCGGGTTTATCTAGGCAGTCTATTGCCGGGTTTATCTAGGCAGTCTATTGCTTTCATGGAATATTTGGTCCAGGCGGTGCTCCGCCTCCCGAGGACCAAGATGTCCAACTTCAAGGAAAATACCAGGCATATGCTCCGCAACCCACGGGTCACACTTAGGGGCCCAACCCGGTCAATTGACCGGCTATTCGCCATGGAAGCCATACCTCCAGGATCCGGTACTATCAGCCGCTCCAACATGACGCTTTCTCGGGTCTTTGGCCTGGTATGACCGAATCATGTGTTTCGGACCCCAAGCAACTTCGGCCTAGACTCTGGAGTCTGGAGGAGGGACCTCTTCATGCCAACTGCATGGAACTACCTGCAGGTTTGTTCACCATTCGCAGCTTCCCCAGGGGAAGTAGTATTGCTCGCTACCTTCTGGCATGGACTTATCACCGGTTGCCCACTATGGACTGCAGTCGGATCTCACGTAGGATCGCTATCTATAGCTTCTGGACAAGTATTTGTCATTTGTGACAGAATGTCTGCGGGACAAGACACTCATGTGGCGGACGGCTTCACCCGACCATGGAGAGACCCCAATGATTGGTTGCCTCACCCTCCGGGGTCTCGAGTACTGGCATTATTACATTCGGTTCGAACCGCCATACAGAGCGGTTCTCCAGCTGGCTGCCGGACCCTCATCGAGGTGAGGGACGCGTTTTCCAAGCTCGGTCTCCTTCGGAGCATACGCTTCCCGTTTACCTACAGGATACTTTGTTCTTTGCTTCAGACCAAATTCCCGGAAGTGTCATTTCGCCTGGCCACACCACTTCGGAGGAGTCCTCCGTGCTTTCCCCTTTTTGCTGGAGTTTGCCACGGGAAGGCAATCTACAACTCCCTGTCTCTTAATGTCCCGTGTGGGATCCACAGGGGTAGCCTGCCACGACTGGTGTCTGGAGAGATGTTTGGGTCCCTATGGCGGTCCTTATCATGGCTGTCCCCATTGTCTGGCTGAGTTGCCCTCTCAGGGTAGGATCGTATGGGGCCATTCACGTCCTATGTCAGCTAGTGGACGACGTTTTCTCAAGATTCTGGCATTGCTAAGGATCTCTTGGTCTGCAGTCTACCAAGAGGAGTATACCATACAGGAGCCCTATGTCTCGCTATTCCTCAATTCTAGTGGTATCGTGTGTTCTGCATTTCCTTGAGGAATGACCTGATGACAAGGACTTGCCTTGCACCAGTTTTTTCCGCTTACGGTTTCCCCCAGCACATCTTGTATTAAATTGCGTTCTGTACATCGGCTTCTGCTCCACACATTTAATTTCTATTCATCCTCTGTGTCGTACCCCTATTCTCCGGATAGGCCACGGCTCTGACAGGTTGTACACGACCATGTAGATCCAGGATCTAGTTCTTTCGTCCGTCTACTTATGGACAGCTGTTGATTTCTGCGTACGGCCGTTTTGGACTGTTTCTGCATCTTCGCTCGCCCGTTGGATTTGGTGGATCCTCTCATTGGCTGACCTTCAAAGTTTCTCTGGGACACTTTTGGTTTGGGGTGCTGTCACCTCAACAACTTTGGAAGCCGTTGAGTATCTTCTGCATTTTCTCTACACCGCTGCTTGGTTTAGCGATTTGGTTTTTCCATTCTCCTTTTATTTCAGTCCTCTATCTCGTAATCTTTACACACAGAGGACACAGATACGCACAGAGTACAACTGACACACACACACACACACACACATACACACACACACATTTACAGTTGCACACAGAGGCCACTGACACACATTTACACCCAGTGAACACTGACACACACATTTACACCCAGTGAACACTGACACACACATTTACGCACAGTGGAAACTGACGCACACATTTACACACAGAGGACACTGACACACACATTTACAGTTGCACACAGAGGACACTGACACACATTTATTTTAAATTCTTGATTTTTCATGCCAGAGAAATAAAACATTTATACCGGCTATGCCACAACAGCGAAATGCGATTTTGCAACTTAGATTTTCACGTGACATGATAAAATGGCATACATTTTTTAACATTAAACATGTTTGAACAACATATATCGAGAGGAAGGTTAGCAGGGGCCTATGAGGCTTAGTAGGACAGAAAAATGAAACTCGCTGTTGGTGGGGTGCCAGTTATACTGGTTGGATGAGGACCAGGGAGTTTACAGGTTATAATTATATCACTCAGGAGAATTGGAGCAAAGTGTTCAGGGAGAACTATGGACCTTGATAAGGTAATCTTGGAGGTGGTAATACAGATGGTGCTGTGTGTTTAGATTAGCTTAAACACTTTGCTTCATTAGGTACCCCTAACCTAGGGAGGTAGCGGGGGGGGCTGGGGGGTGTCTCGCCTAATTGCATCACTTTTTTAAGTAGAAGAGCTTATGTAGTGGGCCCCTATTAAGGTAAATGGGGAACTAGTCAGAGGTGTTAACAGTGATCGAAACATGGCATGGCAACAAAACTTGAACACTGACTGCAGCGGTATGTTTTCTGCATCTCTCGGATAGGATCGATAGAGCTAGCACGACTTTCAGGTGTAGTCACGTGGCGGGGTGATCTTTGGATCCAGCTCTTGGGTTGAATGGTGTGACAGTAGCGGGGTTCCAGGCCCCAACAGGAGTGGGGGTCGGAGGAGCGGATGTCATTATAGCCAGTCCCAGGGATGTGAGGAGTGATGGTGCCTCGGCCAGAGAGGTGAAGGTGTGAGTTTGTCCGTGATGGGTCACTAAGAGGGATCCCGGTGCACCCCATCAGTACCTCTCTTAGTTGTGCTGTAAGCGGTGCGAGTGTCCCGCGCCATTGCAGGGTTGATGTTGTCAGGTCCTGGTAAAAGGTCAGCTGTGATTCTTCAAATGACAGCGGCGTTTTGCTCCTCAGGGCTGCCATGATACGTCCCTTATCTTGGGATGTGGTGCAGCGCAGTATGACATCTCGGTCCGTATTTGGTAAGGTCCTGGTAGGTACTGTGATTCTATACACTCCATCCATAGCTATTTTCTTTGCCACGGCCGAGGGTAGGATACTCGCCAACAGCCGTCTCACATAATGAGGCAGTTCGTCGGGTGAGACAGTGGCCAATATGCCACAGATTTTGACGTTGTTGCGTCTGTATTTATCCTCGAGGGAGGTCAGCTGTAGGTATAGTGCTTGGTGTGACTTGGTAAGCTGTTGTACCTCAGTTTGTACCTGTGAGAGGCCAGCATGGATGTCTACAATGTCCTCTTCAGTGGTTCGCACTCTGTCAGTGGTGTTTTGCATATCTGACCTTAGTACTGCGAGTTCAGCTTCGAGCAACTTGTGGAAGTCGTGTAGCAGGACCTTCAAATCGTGCTTAGTCGTGGGACTGGAGTCCTCCATGGTCCCTGCCAGGACTTGTGGCGTGGGGAGAGTATTGGCCCGCTCTTGTGAATCCCGCCTGTTGCTCTGGTGGGGCTGCGGGGATGTTCGCCGCAGGCGCCATCTTAGGTTGCGCTTGTTTCTGGAGGAGAGCTCCGATGTCTCGGTGATCGGATGGAGGGTTCGGCTTTTGGGATCGCCGTCCCATGGCAGGCATCTGGGCCACTGGTTCAGGTTCTGGCGGTGGTCGGGCCAGGTATGCAAGTTCCCAGTGGTCGTAAACTCTGCCGAGGAGGGTCCCCAAGTTCGGGGTCTCTCGTGTGGTGTAGGCCCCAGGCCTGCGTCTCCGCCTGGGCTGACACACATTTACACACAGAGGACACTGACACACACACACACACATTTACAGTTGCACACAGAAGACACTGACACACATTTACACACAAAGAACTCTGACACACAATTACACACAAAGAATACTGACACACATTTACACACAGAGAACACTGACAAATAAACATACAGGAAACTGACACACATTTACACACAGAGGACACTGACACAGAGGACACTGACAAATACACACACAGGCAACTGACACACTTACACACAAAGGACACTGACACACATATTTAAACACAGAGGACACTGACAGACACACTCACTGATGTAATGAACACTGACACACACACACACAGGCAGACACACACACAATTTCACAGACAGGCACACACACACACACACTCATTGACAGACACATACAAATTATCATAGCAGAGCAAAAGTGGATCCTTTCCCTGGGGTCCAGTGTTGGGCTGCAGTCATCTTTGTGCTTTTCCAGCAAGCACTGCTCCCTCTTGCACTGTTTAGTGATGCCGAGGCAAAAGTGACATTTTAAGCCAGCTCCCGGTTTCACCAAAGGGCGTGTGAGGGAGCAATGCTGGAAGATCTTAAACAGTACAGTTACCTCACCGCCTCTGTCTCCATTACACGTACCACGGTTTGAGATACTAGGATGTATAATACAGAAAAATTGTGCTGTAGATAGTTAATATTAAATATCTGTGAATTTTTGAGTGAGTACAATGGTTCATAAATCTCATGCATTTTATAAACATTTAAATCTGTGTTTTAAAGTCAGCAATTTTATTTAGCATGCGCCTGCTGACAGCAGCTCTGATAAACCTGTCTGAGACTCTGCAAAACCTTTGGCCCAACTTCTTATCTTTCAACCAGTTTAACAGTTTAACAATCTCTATGAAACCTGGCCTGGTTTCATTTTACACAGCTACGCAATATGTTAAATTACTTTTTGTGGTCATTTGGAGCCTTTATATATTATTGCAGATGTATTCTCAGACCTAATACCACTAACGTGAGAATTCAAAGTTAGGTGGAAAATATCAGCACTGAAACAATTCTCTAAGCCAGCTTTGTTTTCAGTTCAGCTATACTGGCTTTAAATTTTAAAATTCACTTTGCTTTTAATTCTGAATTCTCACCTTAGTAAATAATAATGTGTATATTCAATCTGTGGTATTATTCACAATGAACAATAAATGGTAACATTTCTGTTGTCAGTATGCCACGTGGACAAATGATGCCACCCTGGGAGGAATCGAGGGATGTATTTCCAGAATAAAAGCTGCTGATCCGAACTTTGGTAGGTGAAAATGTTGTAACATGGCCATAGAATACTTTTTCTATATAAATAATAAGGAATAGAGAAAATCTGCTAATCATCAAATAGCAATAATTTGTTCGTAAAGTTACATACACATTCGTTTTCCCACATCAAAGTAGAAAACAGCAATATTTTGGCACTAGATGAAAACGATAACAAGGTTATTTTAAAACAAGTAATGTTTCTTGAAGTTTATTGATCACAATAGTTAAAATATTACTGTGGATACTTGAATCATATGTTGCTAGCATGTTATGGGTATTATCTCTTTTTGTCAAACTATTTTTAAATGATTTCACCAAAGCCCATTCAGTCTGTCACCAGTTTAATCATTGGGAAGATGAATTTCTTTAATATATAGTTAAAATATTTATATGTAGTTTACACTACAGTTAAACTATTCTAACAAATTATGCTAAAATCGAAAACTATTAAAATTGTGTGCATGGAAGTTTGCACACCATTTAAATTCTTAGTTCTAAAAGCATGAAATAATTATTTTACATTCATGTCTTGCATAATCCATAATCCTATATATTTTTGCATCATGAACATTGGAATCTTTTTAAACCAGTTCCAGTTGTAATAAATATAACACTTGTCTATTCTTTCTAGAAACATGAACACACATCATAATAATAATAATAATAATAATAAACCTTGTCATTTGAATCACTTTATTGTTCTACGCAGTTATGGGGCACGTTCTACACAATGGTTTGGAGCTGATTGGAACCGGTCGTTCGGCGTTGATTGACAAGGATCTGGCTAGTTCATTAACGATAATGAGTGAACTTTCAAAGTCACAGACGTTGACTGATAGGGAGAAGTTGCATGTTGCTGCCATACAGACATTCGCAAAAGGGTAACTTGTAAAATGTAATGAAGTGTTTTCCATGTTTGTCTTTTCTTTTTTATCGTTTTGTATTGCAAAGAAGTCTAAATACTGTAAGAAAGCATTTATTCTATATAGAACATTATGAAAATGTGTAAAAACATAAACTAGAGACTGGGCAGATGTTAGGTTCATACCCAAATACTATTAGCGGTCCATGATTAGGCAGAAAAGGGCTAAGTAAGTTATAAGAGCTTCTAAATCACACACAGAAGAGAAAATCACACAGTCTGTAAAAAAAGGGACTAAAAAAGGGACTAATTATTTTAAAATTTATTTTAATTTTTTTTTTTTAGATACATAAATGAGAAATGGAAAGTAAAACAAGGATTAGTTAGATTAAAAACAAAAGAAGAAAGGTATGTAGAGGATAAAGGTCTATCTGACTGCCTCAATTAATATTTTTGTTCAGTATTTACAGATGAAAATGAAGGAAAGGGACCTCAGTTGGGGAAAAAAGGACAAATGAGTCATGTGTTACAAGTAAAGACAAATAAGTCAATGGGGCCTGATGGAATACACCCAAAGTTATTAAAAGAGCTTAGTGGTGTACTAGTTAAACCATTAACAGATTTATTTGATGAATCATTTTTAACAGGAGTAGTCCCGGAAGTTAGCGAATGTTGTGCCCATTCACAAGAAAGGTAGTAGGGAGGAGTCGGGCAACTATAGGCCAGTAAGCCTTACTTCAGTAGTGGGGAAAAATCACATGGATTTCAAGATCAGAGACAACATGGTTTTCTTCAGGGAGATCATGCCAAACTAATCTTATTGATTTTTTTTTGATTGGGTAACTAAAATAATAGATCAGGGTGGTGCAGTAGACATAGCCTACCTAGATTTCCGTAAAGGCTTTTGACACTGTTGCACATAGAAGGCTTATCAATAAACTGCAATCTTTAAGTTTGGATTCCAATATTGTTGTATGGGTAAGGCAGTGGCTGAGTGACAGGCAACAGAGGGTTGTAGTCAATGAAGTATATTCCAAGCAAGGTCTAGTTACCAGTGGGGTACCTCAGTGATCTGTACTTGGACCCATTCTCTTTAATATTTTTTTTAGTGGTATTGCAGAAGGTCTTGATGGTAAGGTATGTCTTTTTGCTGATGGTACTAAGATATGTAACAGGGTTGATGTTCCAGGAGGGATAAGTCAAATGGCAAATGATTTAGGTAAACTAGAAAAATGGTCAGAGTTGTGGCAGCTGACATTTAACTTGGATAAGTGCAAGATCTTGGACGTAAAACCCAAGGGCAGAGTACAGAATATTTTATTGAGTCCTAACTTCAACATCTGAGGAAAATGATTTAGGGGTAATTATTTTAGATGACTTAAAGGTAGGCAGACAATGTAATCGAGCAGCAGAAAATGCTAGCAGAATGCTTGGTTGTATAGGGAGAGGTATTAGCAGTAGAAATAGGGAAGTGCTCATGCCATTGCACAGAACACTGGTGAGACCTCACTTGGAGTATTGTACACAGTACTGGAGATCGTATCTTCAGAAGGATATTGATACCTTAGAGAGAGTTCAGAGAAGGGCTACTAAAATGGTTCATGGATTGCGGGATAAAAACTTACCAGGAAAGGTTAAAGGATCTTAACAAGTATAGCTTGGAGGAAAGACGAGACAGGGGGGATATGATAGAAACATTTAAATACATAAAGGGAATCAACACAGTAAAGGAGGAGACTATATTTAAAAGAAGAAAAACTACCACAACAAGAGGACATAGTCTTAAATTAGAGGGGCAAAGGTTTAAAAATAATATCAGGAAGTATTACTTTACTGAGAGGGTAGTGGATGCATGGAATAGCCTTCCAGCTGAAGTGGTAGAGGTTAACACAGTAAAGGAGTTTAAGCATGCGTGGGATAGGCATAAGGCTATCCTAGCTATAAGATAAGGCCAGGGACCAATGAAAGTATTTAGAAAATTGGGCAGACTAGATGGGCCGAATGGTTCTTATCTGCCGTCACATTCTATGTTTCTATGATTCCGAACGCACAATTAAATAAATTAAAGATACTAATAAGAGAATTAAGTAATGCAAATAGCATTACCTAAATAGATTCAGTAGTTTGAGGAGGCTGTTGTGTATAGGGGTATTTATCCCATGTGGTTAATGATTTGTTACTCGGTTGATAAACATCCTTTTTTTTTTTTTTTTTTTTTTGAGGTGTAAACACCCTGTCCCAGACTGGAACTTTCAGTTGTTTTACTGGATGTCCAATCTGGGACTTGGTAAGATACTTGTAATGTGTTATTAACTATTTAAAGCAGGATGGAGTGTGATCTTCTATAAGACATGGCAGGGAGTGAGATGTGCAGAATGAAAGTGATTCTCCCGATCTACAGAAACTGAGAACATTCTGTCTAAAACATCATTTTTACTGTTTGTAAAGTTAAAACTATTCTTGAATAAATCATGCACATTTTTGTTAGGCTTTCTTTCCATAGCCACCTTTATTGTTATAACATCTGTATATTTTTAAATGTCTGCTCTGACTGCTAGCTGATATCTTGTTTGCTTTTTCTTCTAGAAACCTCCCTAAGACGACTGATCTCTGGGAGGCGATTTTATTGACGCACCCAACAGATCTCTTAGCCATAAAGTTTGTTCATGATACATATTTCTATCTGGGATACAGAACACAAATGAGAGATTCTGTAGCCCGCGTCCTTCCGTACTGGACCCCTAAAGATCCTTTGTGCAGGTAGGTAAACCTTTCACGATTTCTTCCACCGGCAATGTACCTGCTCACTTTTATTATCTTTTCAACAATAAAAATATTCACATTATTATTAGTATTTATCAAGTGACCGCCTATTCTGTAGCGCAGTACAATTAAGGCAAAGAACAGAACAATATACATGGACAAACGCAAAAGGTAGAGTCTGCCGTGAGCTGAGAGCTAGTAATCAAAGCACTTTTATACAAAGTAATTGGTTAGATATTCGCAGGTTACAATCTAAAGGTTTACAACAGGGAGTTGAGGCAGCAAGCGGGGGGATTTGATGAAGATGGCCAAATAGATTTAAATGAAATTTGCAGCCACTGTTAAGATGTAAAAGGAAATGAGAAAGTAATTAAGCAAGATATCAAGTAGCTGGAGATGCGTGCTATAAAGTCATCATAATATTAACAATTGATAATAATATGTGACATTATTTAAAGGAAGGATAGTTTATGGGTCCAGATTTATTCATTTCCTGGTATTACAATCCATGCCTTGCACATTCATGTTATGTACTGCCCCTCTCCAGTCCATAATGAATGTCTCTGTGGGACTCCTATAACTTACAACTGTCAAACTTTACCCCTCTGTCGGTCTCTGTAGTTGCTTCCTGCTTAGTTTAGGATTTGATTCAAAGTTCTCATGCTTACCTACAAAGCTCTCCATAATTCTCCACCTGCTTAGCAGATATTCTCCAGCTTGGCCTCTTTGTTACGCCGATGACGTGTTACTGTCCTGTTCTCGTACCCACACCCCAAACACTCGTCTGCAAGTATTCTCTCAGGCTGCTCCTTCCTAATGGAATACCCTCCTGCAGGACATCCAGCTGTCCCCAGCTCTGCAGTCCTTAAAAAATCCCTAAAAATACACTTGTTTAGAAAAGCTCATCTGTTCTCCTCTACTAATTTTTAACAACCTTTGTCTGCTGTCTCCCATCTACTGTGCCTCCTCCCAAACACCCCTCCATGCCTTTAGGAGGGGTGTATTTGTCCATCATCCTTTTAGATTGTAAGCTTGTTTGGTCAAAGACCCTCTTATCTATCTAGGTATGTTGAACATTTTTTTTTTTTTGTTAGACTTAATGGTTTGTCTTGTTTCACCTATTGTGCAGTGCGGTAGAATATGTTGGCATTATATAAATATTTATACTGGCTTAAGGCAGTAGAATGCGTAATTTCAGTTGGGGAGCTTTGGCCTCAAATTTGAAATTCACTTTGGATTCTGTACAATTGTTATTTTTATGAACAACCTGGAATGTGTGCCCCTGGCCATTGAGACCTGGAGTTGGACATTCTTGATCTAAAAGTACTCTTTGTGGCCAATTTCTAGTCCTGCGGCTGCTGTGGATTGTAATCTGAAACACGATAATGAGCTGACTCCTATGCCTTCTTATTGGCTAGTGAACCTGTCTTTTCATATCTAGAAAAGTAGTCCTCCTTCTTCCACATCACCGTCTGTACCCAGCATCTATGGCGAAGTTGCTGACATCACTGTCTTATTATATTGGCTGTAACTTTACTTATCCTTTACCCTACGTTCCCGGGTGCTCTGAAAACCGCTGGGTTTCACGTCCTGTTTCTAATCGCTGGTACCACAGCGTCAAGCCATAGTAATGCGCCCAGGAGGTAGGTTAGACTGCTTCCTAACTTTAGGCACATATCTGAGCGAGCTGTTTGGACACCTTGAGGGGATTGTACAGCTTGAAATGTTGCTCTTTAATTTGTGGACATGATGGAAAAACATCTGTATGGAGGATGTCCCGTTTAATCTTCTAGTATGCTTGTGTTTACAGACCTGCTCACTCATGGATTGTGTGAACTTTAGTCAAATCTCACTTGGCAGAGGCAGAATTGCTGTACACTCTTGGATACTCCAGTTAACGGTGTATTTCATTCGTTTTAATGAGCTCTATTAATTGTATCCACTGGAAAGGCGGACTGCACTCAGAGCCGTGTTACTCTGTTCCTTTTCCAGTTACATCAGAGGCATGCACTCTTTTGGGCTTCTTGAAACAAACTTTTATGACGAAGCTCTGAAGGTGGCCAGTGAGGTAATAATAAAAGCCATCTGTTCGTTTATTAATGTGAATTTATAGTTGTTTTGCTCTTCTTATGCTGTTGAGTTACATAATTCTATGTATGTTCCAATCAAAATAAATTCTGCATTATTAATTTACCGTATATTTTGGCATAGAAGTTTGGTGACGCTTATTGTCTACATTTTCAATATAAGGGATTGTTTGCTGAACATTAATTTCTAGCAAAGATTATCAGCAATTGTTTAAATTTAAATTTAACATAATTTCAAGCTGGTTTCAAGAATCAAGTATTTCACAAAATGACCATTGTGCCAAATTTACATGTTTTTGTGTACAAATTAAGTAGTTTAATTTTAATACTCTTTGTGTGTACTATATTATTGTTTTATATTTCACATTTAGTTCTTAGACTATTAAAGGATCACTATAGGGTCAGGAACACAAACATATATTTCTGGCCCTATAGTGTTAAGACGACCATCTATCCCCCCTGATCCCCTCTTGCCACCCTAAATATAGTAAAATCTTACTTGTATTCAAGTCTGGAGCTGCTGCCTCTGTCTGTAAACTGCTGACATCATCAGAAGTGGTGGTCTGAGCCAATCATAATACTTTCCCATAGGATTGGCTGAGACTGTCAAGGAGGCAGATCAGGGGCAGAGCCAGCACAAGTCAAACACAGTCCTGGCCAATCAGCATCTCCTCATAGAGATACATTGAATCAATGCATCTCTATGAGGAAAGTTCTGCGTGGAGACACTAAATGGCAGTCACAATGTGCAGCACTGCCTCAGGAAGTGCCTCTAGCAGCCATCTGAGGAGTGCCCAGTGAAGTTATCACTAGGATGTAATGTAAACACTGCATTTTCTCTTAAAAGACAGTGTCTACAGCAAAAAGCCTGAAGGGAATGATTCTTCTCACTATAACGAATGCTATAAGCTATAGTTGCTCTGGTGACTATAGTGTCCCTTTAAGCCTATCATGTGAGGTTAGTTTTCAGAAATAATATTGAAATTAAACTTTTATTCGTTTTATTTTAACCCCCCCCTCCCCCCCCAGTTACAATAATCTCTATTCTTTATTGCTGCCCCCCAAGTGGCCCTGCATGATCTTGCAGTTCGTGTTTCACTCACTAATCCAGCATTTTCTGAACAATGATTAGTGGATTATATAGTCAATAGGGGTAAGCCTCATCACATGCATTTTAAAAAGAAAATATGTAATTGCCCCCTAGATTTGCCATGTCCTTAAATAGACTTTGTCAAACAACCATATAAAGTATATCCGATTTAATAGAAGTAAATAAACACTTTTATTAAAAGTAAATAACTTTGGGACCCAAATTTCATATGGTTTCTTTTTTTAATTGCAATTTTCTCCTCCATGTCACTTGCTGATGTAGGCTTTGGCCGTGAACCAGAAGGATTCCTGGTCGGTCCATACCATTGCTCACGTCCACGAGATGAAGGCAGATGTAGAGAATGGGCTGTCCTTCATGCAGAAGACAGAAAGGAACTGGAATGTAAGACTGAATGTGTTCTCTGATTATACACCTGTAATATAATGCAGCACGTTGATGGTAACATTTAAAGCTGTACACATTGTCTTGCAGGGGAGCGACATGCTGGCTTGTCATGTCTACTGGCACTGGGCGCTGTATCTCATTGAAAAGGTTTGCATGTGGCTCTGCAATCTTCCTGGAATACTGTATTTTATTATAGTTCTATAAATACATATATTCTTTAGTAAATAACTGTGATTGTAACAGTTTAATTTAAACTAAGAATTGTCAGTAATTCAAAGTCAATTCCTAATTTAAGCTCTAAATGACCGAACTCAAAGCATTGACTTGGACATGTTTTCCAGTTCGGTTATTTTAACCTTAAATTTGAAACTCTCTTTGAATTCTCCACAATTCTCACTTTAATGAATAACCTTGAATATGTTCAATAGTATAAACATTATAAATATTATGAGGATAAATTACCGTGGCAGCTGAAATGGGACTTAAAGGACAACTGTCACCGTAACACTATTTTTTATATATTGATTATTTCATCTGAAATACTGATAGGAAATAGATTCTGTGTTAAATGAACGATATGTAGAAACCTGATAAGTACTCATCCCAACCTTTAGTACACGACAGGATCCTTCAGCCATATACACACACCTTGGGTCAGACCGTGATTGAAAACCTCAATATAGTCTCTATGGTATATCCTGCTACACTGCCTGCACAGAGTCCTCAGACCGACTGTCAAATTCATACACTGTCTGACCCAAGCTGTATATGGCTGAAGGATCCTGTCATATACTAAAGGGAGAGATGAGTTTTTCATTCCTTTAACAAAGAATCCATTTTCTTTCAAAATATGATGGAAAATTTATTATATAAAAAAAAATGTATAAGTACTTTCATTTATAATATAGGGTTTATTCACTGAATGGCAATTTATGGCACATTGCAAAATATGGACCGAATCAGCAAATCTGAAAAATGCAACTGATATAATTTTTCTGAGTAATTTGTACTGAAGTCAACTCACCGTTCAGTGAATAAGTGCGTTAGACTGACAATCTGAGGTTTATAACATAATCCATATATTCATATCTCGCCCTGACCGCTTTCTTTCAGGGTGAATATGAGGCTGCACTAACTCTGTATGACAAGCATGTAAGTACCCCTAAACCACTGCAGCTCTGATTAAAGGTAATTACAATAGTTTCATTTTGAAAATGTATACACCCTGTCCAATCCCTTGGTGCTTATTTAATAAATATTATTTTTTTCTTTTTGTTATTGCATACTCAAACCTGCTGACAGAACTGTATTTAGCTCACCCACATCCTTTGTAGCGTTATATACCTCATGGCCAAATCCCTGACTTCAACGTTTATAAAATATGTTTCCTTTTCTAATATCCCCACTGAGTAGATGATATCAGAGTCCAGGCAGGTGGCTGCCATGCCTGGCCTGATAAACTACTTGGCACCTTCTAATCTTCCTCGTATCACTTCATTCCTGTGCACTCTGCATTGCTTAATGTTGCACGTGCATTTATAAAGCATGTTGTTGTTTTTTGTTTGTTGTTTGATTTTTGTTTTTTATTAAAAGACTATTGTTTTAAAAATCGCACTTTTTCTATGTCCACTGTTTTTCTTTAATATTTTTTTGTTGTATGTGCTCCCCATCTTATTAATAAAAAATCACGTTTAAACTCCCAGTCTCAATCTCCCCTCGCTGAAACCATGAATCATGATGAATGCTGTCCTATTAAATACTTTCATAGACAAGCATTGAGGAAGCACATCTATCTCTGCGATTCGCCAATCCTACGCTTCTGGCAGCAGCGTACTTTATATACACGGAAACTGTGCATAAATTATATTCGATTGCTAAACTGTTTTAGTCCAAAGCTCCTAGTGATTGTTTGACTGACCTACAGACTTGGAAATTGCAAAAAAAACCATACTGATTTGAAATGTGGAACACAGGGGCAGCATCTACGAACCCAATTCATCTCATAAAGAAAAAGTGACAATAAAACTGCCAGTCAATGAATCATGCTTTCCTTTCCTCAGATTGCACCTTCTTGTTTAACGAGTGAGAGTATGCTGGATATTGTAGATAATACATCGATGTTGTACAGACTTCAGATGGAAGGTAAGACATTGTGAAACCAACGTTACGTCTAAAGCTGCATAACTGTTCTAGAGTAACTATTAAAATGATAATACCACATCCTGTCCTTACACGGGAGCTTTGGGTGCATCAAGGAATCATCTATGTTCATTCTGAGCTGCCTAATAGGGACAAGAAAACTGATTTCGCACTTAGGAAGCAAGTGTAAAATATGCAGTTGAGAAATATAGTCATCAGATTAACAACAATTATGATCTGATTGGATATTTAACTTGGAAACGTTATATTTAGCTTCTCTTTATTTTACTTAATTATGTTCTGGTGCCTACATTGTTTTTTTTCCAAGTAATAGTATAATATAAACCTTTACAAGCAAATGAATGTAAAGTGTAAAGCATCTTATATTGTTTGGGTGAATGGACGTTTACTGGTAATGTGAGACCCAGGCAACTCCCATATAACTGCTGTAGTAGGAGAGTAATATGATCGATATAACAATGAATGGACCATTGAATGAATTTAGTTTGACACCATTCATTAAATGACTGTTGTGAGTGAATGAATATCTCCCTGAAGGGGGTTGCTGTGACGGCTGCCTTTTGGATGCATTCATTTCCATAAAGATAAATGGTCGTCCGAAATTTATTAACTAAGCAAAACATTTTATTGAATTTTAGAACAACTGCATAGCTGTAACAATAGGTTGCTGCCGAACTAAATTTTGGGGGAATAAACCAAAACAATTTAATTTTTTTTTTCTGTACATATCTCTACTGTTTATTCCCCTCCAGGTGTGGATGTGGGAGACAGGTGGAACAAAATCCTAAACATTACAAAGAAGCACACCAATGATCATGTTCTGATTTTCAACGACCTTCACTTCCTTATGTCCTCCTTGGGCTCAAAGGATCATGGGATGACGAACCAACTTATGGAATCCTTACAGGAAGTGGCCAAGTGAGTGAGCACATTTAGCTACACGTTCTTGGCTAATAAGGCATGCAGCTCTTCCTTTACCTCATTTTATTTCCAGATCTCCAGGAGAAAACCACCAGCATGTACTAACCAACCGGCTGGGTTTCCCGCTGTGCCAGGCATTGATTGAGTTTGATGCTGGGAATTATGACAAGGTGGTAGACCTGCTGCATCCAATCCGATACCAGATCCCTGATATAGGAGGAAGCCATGCGCAGGTAATGACCTGAAATGGACCTTTTTAGTTATAACGGTTTGCGTTTACTACTACAAACAACTTAACTTGAAAATGTACAGGACAATGTGATTAGACTTATCAGACACCAAACCAGACACAAAGGGATACCACTGGGACTTGCCTGTTAGATTAATAAACTCTGTCCACACTCAGTTAACGGGAGAGTACACCTGTGTACACAAGTGCTGCATATTTAATTTGTCGATATATCTGGTTGAAATAGGTTTTTATTTATACACCTGTAGTGTTAAAGTCTGGGTTATTAATTAGAGTTAAAAGTCAAGGTCAAAGTAGGTGAAGTGGAAGCATAGCTGACAGACGAGGTTTCCAATTCAGCCATTTACCTTGAATTTGAAATTCACTTTCAATTCGCACAGTAATGGATAAACCCGTATATATTTTTTTCCTTTTTCTTATCAATGATTCAGAGGAATTTAAGCTCAATTATGCTTAAACCTAAGGAGAACTCTTTGCAGCCTTTTACTGAATTTGTTAAAACTTCCCATGCTCACTTAAAGGGACACTACAGGCACCCAGACCACTTCTGCCAACTCCCATCACCCATAACCCTGCAAGTGTAGTTATTGCAGTTTTTATAAACTGCAATAATTACCTTGCAGGGTTAAGTCCTTCTCTAGTGGCTGACGTCGGTGGGGGAGCAGTGTGGGTGGAGCCTGACCCAGCGCCGTGGGACATCGGCACTGGATTCAGGTAAGTCACTGATGGAGTTTTAACCCCTTCAGCAATGGGATGGGTGGAAGGGAGGGGGCACTGCAGGAACCTGCAGTGCCAGGAAAACAGATCTGTTTTTTGGCACTGGAGAGTCCCTTTGAGGTACCTTTTTTTTACTATTTCATTAAAGAGTTGGTATATCTTTCTGTCTGTAACTGTATCCATTCCTTCCCCAGACAACAAAGGCTATTAGAGGATAAATAATATATCATGTGTCAACCTTTTTCAACCTATATTACTATGTACTATATCAGGGCTCAATATTCCAACTGTCCCACCAGTGGAAAGCCAACCCTGGAGAGTGGAAGTATGGTTTAGGTTCCCCTTTCTTCACTGCCCGGCTCATGACTACCAGGCCTGCTTAGTAGCATAGTACTTTAAATTGTGAGCCATAATGTATATTTTATTTATTTATTGTTAGAGAGACATCTTCAACCAACTCCTGATTCATGCAGCTCTCAACAGTAAATCCAAACCTCATCGGAATTTAGCCAGGTATTTACCTCTTAGTTAATCCTTTTTCGTTCCATTCGTTGTCAACAATGAAGAATCTAATTTTAAAAAAGACATCTTCTGTGGTATTTTGGAAATAAAAACATTTATTTTTCAGAGAGCATATATCCCTAATTCTTTTTTTCTTTTTTTGTCCTGCAACAGATGCCTGTTAATAGAAAGAGATATTTTGAGACCAAATTCGCCTTTGACTGAGAGACTAATGAGAAAGACCACTGCTGTCCACAATCTGGCGTGAACACGATTTGTACCAGCAATTTATTCTTCCACAACGTATTCTGACAAATCCGAGTAACAGAAAAAGAGATGATTATTTTAAATGTTATCCGAAAAAGTGCTCCCGAAAAAGTGCTAATCTGTTCATTCTTAGCAAAAATAGTGTAAAGGACTTCAAGCTAGCCTTGGTTTCCTATGGCTATAGTACACATTCCGCACATCATCAGACAAGTCAAACACAACAGTTTCTTTGCACTGTATAGTTAAATACTTGAATAGTAGAATATGAATGGCAGAAATCCTAGGTTGTGATTGCCTTGGGTTACATGTCCTCAGTAGTCTATTATTCGCTTTATCGCTAAATCTCTGAGGGTTTAGATCATGGAACTCTATCACTGGATACCCTACATCCCAGAGAATTCTTTGAATGCAGTAGATGTCTAGAGAATAATGGGCGTTTTAGTTCAGCAATATCTGGGCAGCCAGATATTGAGGTGCCTGGTTCAGGTAGTGTGATCCAATTTCACCTTCACCGTAAAACACACTGAAAGCTTCAAATAATACTCAATGCCACATTACTTCAGATAAGTTATATTAATGTAATCAAACTCTTCAGGAAATATAATTTTTAAATTATTTATACAAAAAGGTTCCTGTGACAGAGACACTTTAAAAAATAGCCACATACATAAGAAGCTGGCTTCCAAAATATAATGATAAATCCACAATCATGCGGCCATCTCCCATCAAGAGCTTCAGACATCTATCACTAATACTAATTCTGCCCTTGCCTTTTGTGTCACTATACCCCACTCCCTCTAACATGTAAGCTCACTGAGCAGGCCCTCAATCCCTCTGTTACTGTGTCACTATACCCCACTCCCTCTAACATGTAAACTCACTGAGCAGGGTCAATCCCTCTGTTACTGTCACTATACCCCACTCCCTCTAACATGTAAACTCACTGAGCAGGGCCCCCAATCCCTCTGTTACTGTGTCACTATACCCCACTCCCTCTAACATGTAACTCACTGAGCAGGCCCTCAATCCCTCTGTTACTGTGTCACTATACCCCACTCCCTCTAACATGTAAACTCACTGAGCAGGCCCTCAATCCCTCTGTTACTGTGTCACTATACCCCACTCCCTCTAACATGTAAACTCACTGAGCAGGACCCTCAATCCCTCTGTTACTGTGTCACTATACCCCACTCCCTCTAACATGTAAACTCACTGAGCAGGGCCCTCAATCCCTCTGTTACTGTGTCACTATACCCCACTCCCTCTAACATGTAAACTCACTGAGCAGGGCCCTCAATCCCTCTGTTACTGTGTCACTATACCCCACTCCCTCTAACATGTAATCTCACTGAGCAGGCCCTCAATCCCTCTGTTACTGTGTTACTATACCCCACTCCCTCTAACATGTAAACTCACTGAGCAGGGCCCTCAATCTCTCTGTTACTGTGTCACTATACCCCACTCCCTCTAACATGTAAACTCACTGAGCAGGGCCTCAATCCCTCTGTTACTGTGTCACTATACCCCACTCCCACTAACATGTAAACTCACTGAGCAGGCCCTCGATCCCTCTGTTACTGTCACTATACCCCACTCCCTCTAACATGTAAACTCACTGAGCAGGCCCTCAATTCCTCTGTTACTGTGTCAGTATACCCCACTCCCTGTAGCATGTAAACTCACTGAGCAGGGCCCTCAATCCCTCTGTTACTGTGTCAGTATACCCCACTCCCTGTAGCATGTAAACTCACTGAGCAGGGCCCTCAATCCCTCTGTTACTGTCACTATACCCCATTCCCTCTAACATGTAAGCTCATTGAGCAGGGCCCTCAATCTCTCTGTTCCTGTGCATCCAACTCGTCTGGTTACAATTACATGTTTATTAGTCCACCCATTGTAAAGCGCTACGGAATTTGTTGGCGCTATATAAATTTAATAATAATCAAGCTGATTTCTGGACTTGTTTTTGGGCAGTTATCTGCTTTGCATCAAATTTGAGATTTACTGGATAGATTAAGTGTGTATATTAAACAAAGTGCCTTTCGTGTCATTTTTAAATTCATAATCAAATAACTGTCTTCAAATTAAAGCAGATTGGAATGTAGACTGTAAATAAATGGCTTTGTGTGACTAAAGGGTTTCTATTTCTGCATTATGATTTCTAAAAAAAATTAAAGGGACACTATAGTCACCAGAACAACTACAACTTATTGGTGAATAGAATCATTCCCTTCAGGCTTTTTGCTGTAAACACTGTTTGTCCAGATAAAATGCAGTGTTTACATTACAGCCTATGGATACCCCCACTGGCCACTCCTCAGACGGCTACTAGTGGCGCTTCCTGAGGCAGTGCTGCACAATGTGATTGACATTCAGTGTCTCCACCCTCTGCATGCAAACACTGAACTTTCCTAATAGAGATGCATTGATTCAATGTATCTCTATGAGGAGATGCTGATTGGCCAGGGCTGTGTTTGACTTGTGCTGGCTCTGCCCCTGATCTGCCTCCTTGACAGTCTCAGCCAATCCTATAGGGAAGCTTTGTGATTGGCTCAGACCACCACTTCTGATGATGTCAGAGGTCATATGCAGTTCAGAGGCAACGGCAGCAGCTCCAGACTGGAATAAAAGTAAGTTGTTGTTTTTTTTTGCTTTGTTTTTTCTATATTTAGGGAGGCAACAACGAGTCAGGGGGTCTAGATGGTGGTTTTAACACTATGGGGTCAGGAATACATGTTTGTGTTCCTGACCTTATAGTGTTCCTTTAAATCAAACATTGAGCAATTCAATCTTAGAGTTGATTTTTTTTTTTTTTAAACTAGAGTGGGTTTAACCCCTTCATATTAGATGGTTTGTTGTGACAGCCATTGCAAAAAACTATTTGCCTACCCCTTGCCATTGTGGTTATGTGGTTACACAAACATCACAACTGCCCACATATTACAACAAACATCACATCATGATTGTTACATCTATAAAACACTGATCAATTTACATTTATTTTTAGCAACAAATTAGCTTCAGAGTCCTTTCTTTCACCTAGATACTAAATGAAACTATATTGATTTACACGTGTCTATACACCCCTCAGTAAATTGAAATAAATGTAAAAAAACAGGCATGCCGGATTTCACCTTGAGCACAGTGGATGCAGCTGAAGGGTGCTTTTATTTAAATTCCTATCCATTAAATTACTATCCATTTACAATTTCGTCTATAACACTTATCGACTTTAAACTGGGAGGGACTACATTAAAATTGTCAAGCTGGGAAAGGATATTTAAGAATATTTCCTAAGTAAGCTATGTTTGTTCACTGGTGTCTACAAATATTCCTGGAAATTTCAACTTAAGTGCATCAATGTGTACTTGTCACGTGTTCATCCGCTTATAAAAATGTGGTTAATGGCATTTACTGTCCACACAGGAAAAGTTGTGCCGAGCAGCAACCAAATCCACAGAAGGGTTAATGCTGAGCAGCAATTATGTAAATGGGAACCTGGTAACTGCTTTGGGGTCAAAGGCCGGTTACAGCCTATCAGAACTAAAGGAGGGGTATTTAGGCCCAGTTCTCATCCTGCTCCGTGCCCTGTCGTGGTTTCCCTTGTGGTTGTTGAGAGCGCGTTATTGATTTTGGTTATTCTGGTTATTTGACTTTGGCATTGTTTTTGACTTCCCTGTTTTCTGGCATCCCTGGCTTTTCCTTAAAGGACCACTCTAGGCACCCAGACCACTTCAGCTTAATGAAGTGGTCTGGGTGCCAGGTCCTCCTAGGGTTAACCCATTTTTTAATAAACATAGCAGTTTCAGAGAAATTGCTATGTTTATGAATGGGTTAAGCCTTCCCCCAAAGCCTCTAGTGGCTGTCTCATTGACAGCCACTAGAGGCGCTTGCTTCTCACTGTGATTTTCACAGTGAGAGCACGCAGCGTCCATAGGAAAGCATTGAGAATGCTTTCCTATGTGACCGGCTGAATGCGCGCGCAGCTCTTGCCGCGCGTGCGCATTCAGCCGGCGGGGCGGAGAAGAGGAGGAGAGAAGGAGGAGAGCTCTCCGCCCAGCGCTGGAAAAAGGTAAGTTTTAACCCCTTTCCAGAGCCGGGCGGGAGGGGGACCCTGAGGGTGGGGGCACCCTCAGGGCACTATAGTGCCAGGAAAATGAGTATGTTTTCCTGGCACTATAGTGGTCCTTTAACGTTGTGTCTCTTTCTGTTTCCCTTGACCTCGGCTATTCCTGACTATTCTTTGGTATGTTAGTCCGGCCATTCTAAGATCCGGCATACGTTACCTATCAGTCCTCTGTGTTACACAATTTTACGTGCTGGATCATTCTGTAATCCTGACAGTACTTTTGTGGACCATTTCTGGATTTAACTATTATTAAACGTACAACCCCTGTAAATGAAATTTTGCAACTTTAGCTTTAAAACATTAACTATTGAATATTTACCCTCTAACTTCCAATATTTTGACTAAAATCCTAGATGGTTTTATAATCACAACAAACTAACCAACAATTTAACCGTACGCAACAGTCAATGCTATTGGCAGCTATGTCACCATTTAAAAAGTTGTGTCTGCCTAAACTTGTCCCAAATAGTATCACATTTATGGCTCACATCTAAAATATTTAACTGTAAATTACGTGGAATTAATTTATTCTGAAATATATTGTTCTGCTGCACTAGTTGTGTAGAAATTTTCCATAAAGCTGTGAAGTATTTTTTTTCCTTAATTTGTTTTATTTTTATTATTCACACCTCATATTGTGTTATATAGTATTATATATTTAAACAGGGCATTAGAAGAAAGTCCATCTGTAAATTAAAATATGTATATATGTACTTAAAGGACCACTAGACTGCCAGGAAAACAAACTTGTTTTACTAGCTCTATAGGGTCTTTGGGTCCCCCCCACCCTCAGGGTCCCACTCCCGCTGGGCTCTAGGGAGAGGAAGGGGTTAAACTCTTACCTTTCTCCAGTGCCGGGCTCCCTCTCCCGACGTCATCCGCTGAATGCAACAGCCGCGCGCACATTCAATCAGTCCATAGGAAAGCATTTCTCAATCCTTTCCTATGGATGGCAGCGTCTTCTCACTGTGATTTTCACAGTGAGAAGTGTGGAAGCGCCTCTAGCGGCTGTCAGTTAGACAGCCACTACAGGCTGGATTAACCCTAAAGTAAACATAGCAGGTTCTCTTAAACTGCTTTGTTTACAGCTGCAGGGTTAACCCTAGATGGACCTGGCACCCAGACCACTTTATTGAGCTGAAGCTGAAAAATGACAAACAAATGCATGGATTCTTGGAAAAATTTTACTAAGGGGTTAATGATTAAAACCCTCTGTTTTTTATTTATTATTTTTTTAAATTAATATAATGGGAATTGTGGAAGGCCCGGCTGGTGCTTCAGAAGGCATGGCGTCTACTAAGCTGTGTCTTGGGCACATGTCGTATCAGGCAGCTTGCTGCATATAGACGATAGACTGAATGCATTATGATGCTCTGGTTTTATTTTACTCTGTACAGAGACAGCCTTTAACCTTGAGTTATCCAAAAAGAGATGAGAGTATTGGCGGTGAGATACCGGAGTGATTGTGGCTCCAGATACAGTGTCTCAGTCACAGGTATCACCCCATGCTAGCTCACACTGCTGTTTTATATCTCTAACTTTGTACAATGAGCTCCGGCATGTTGGGTAACAGTCAGTCTTACAGACATCCCAACTCTCCCGACGTTCTGGGGGTCTTCCGGCATTATAATAGCGGCTCCCTGACACCTGCAAGTTATATACACTATCCCGGAAACCACACAATCAGACATGCAATTAGCTGACAATCAATTAGCTGGTGAAACCGACTCCTGAAATTAGTTTTTGTATGTTGAGACGTCTGGTCTTAAACCCCAGGATGTAAAGTTAAACACTTACTAATTTATTATTTATAACCTCCTATGGTTTAACTGCACATTTATTATAATATTTATATAGCGCCATCAGACTCCGTAGCGCTGTACAGTGGGATTAATCTTTTTATTATGGATAATTTGCACATTATTTATTACATTTGATATATTTAGTGTTATTTAAAAATGGAGATTAAACTATACTATAAATCCCCTCACTGGGAATTAGAGTGCAAGCTCCTCAGGCTAGTGTTGCCATGGTTTCCAGGCACAGCTCTGGGTGACCTTGACACTGATCACATGATCTGATATCCCGGCATCCTCAGCGGTGGTCAGCTGACCTGCCTGTCCCAAGATGGCGGCGCCCATGTTGCACGCTGTACGTGGAGCGGCCCGGCGGGTTCCCCGGGTTTCCTGCCGCTGCCTGTCGGGCTCCCCGGGGTTCCTGGCGGCCGTGGCCCGGAGGGGGCTGTTCCAGGAGCTGTTCCCTCCGGAGGGCCCCGGGCTCCCAGACCTGCTCCTGTCGGGGCCCCAGACCGTGTACTGCGGGTTCGACCCCACGGCGGACTCCCTGCATGTGGGGAACCTGCTGGCCGTGCTGGGCCTGCTTCACTTCCACCGGGCCGGCCACCACGCCATCGCCCTCATCGGTGGGGCCACAGCCCAGATAGGGGACCCCAGCGGCCGCAGCCTGGAGAGGGAACCCCTGAACCCCGAGACCCTGGAGAGCAACGTGCGGGGGGTCAGGGACAGCCTGAACAGGGTGTTCGAGAACTACCAGGTGCTGCATGGGGGCCACGCCAAGCCGGGGGCCACCTTCAACGTGCTGGACAACGCGTCCTGGTACCGGAACCGCCAGCCCATAGAGTTCCTGAGTTCGGTGGGCCGCCATTTCCGAATGGGTACCATGCTTAGCCGGCACAGTGTGCAGAGCCGCCTGAAGACCCCCGAAGGCATGAGCCTCACCGAGTTCCTCTACCAGATGTTCCAAGCGTACGACTTCTACCACCTTCACCAGCAGCACGGCTGTAAGATCCAACTGGGGGGCAACGACCAACTGGGCAACCTCATGTCCGGCCACGAGTTTATTCACAAGTAAATATAATGCATGCCATGTAACCGTGTATTATTGGGGGCACCGCCCAACTGGGCAACTTCATGTCCGGCCACAAGTTTATCTACAAGTAAATATTATGCATGCCATGTATTATTGGGGGCACCATCCAACTAGGCAACCTCCTGTCCGGCCACGAGTTTATCCACAAGTAAATACAATGCATGCCGAATATAATTAGGGGCACCGACCAGCTGGGCAACTTCATGTCCGGCCATGAGTTTATCCACAAGTTAATATATAATACATCCTGTGTATTATTGAGGGCACCAACCAACTGGGCAACCTCATGTCCAAGTGTGAGTTTATGTACAAGTAAATGTAATGCTTGCTGTGTATCCATGTTGTATCCATGTGTTATTAGGGGCATCGACTAACTGGGCAACCTCATGCCCAGCTGCAAATGTGCCCACAAGTAAATATAATGCATGCCGTGTATTATTGGGGGCACCGACCAACTGAGCAGCCTAACGACAGGCTCACAATTTTTTTCACAAGTAAATATAAAACGTTCCCTGTGCTGCTGGGGTATGGACCAACTGGGCAACTTCATGTCTGGCCATGAATTTATCTACAAGTAAATATAATGCATGCCATGTATTATAAGGGATATGGGCCAAATGGGCAACTTCATGTCTGGCCATGAATTTATCTACAAGTAAATATAATGCATGCCATGTATGATAAGGGATATGGGCCAAATGGGCAACCTAATTCCCAGCCACAAATTTATTCACAAGTAAATGTAATGTGTAACATGTACTATTGGGAAAAGGGCCAATTTAGCAATCTCTCACCCAGCCTCAACTGTATCCACAATTAAAATACTGCATTCTGTGACAGGTGCCAACCAACTGGACAACTCCATATCTAACCACAAGTAATTATAATTCGCGCAGTATTAGTGGGGGGGGACAACAAATTGGGCTAGCTCACATTTGGCCATGAATTATTCACAGTAAATATACTGCGCTGTGTGTTAGTGGGTGGCACCCATCCGAACGGACCACCCTCATGTCGGGCCACTAATTTATCTGAAACTAAAACATCAAGTGTGTGATGTTTGGGTGGCACAAACTGGGCAAGTTTGTTTTGACATTATTAGCGTTTGTTAATATTATTGTTAAATTACATATTGATATTTCCTTCATAGGGTGACTGGTGAAGATGTATTTGGGATCATGTTGCCTCTTATTACGAATACCACAGGGGACAAGCTGGGAAAATCTGCTGGAAATGCGGTCTGGCTGAATAGAGAACGGACATCTCCATTCGATTTCTATCAGTTTTTTGTGAGGCAGAAGGACAGCAGCGTTGAGAGGTAAGTCGGAGGAAATATGGCTAGTGGCATTTATTTAGGAGTAGTAATTGCTACTTGCAGTTTATAAACCCTGGCTATTAGATGATTTGTCCTCCTTCGTGAAAATGTAACAATTAAAATAACAATATTGGTGGATCAAAGGAACAATTAGTAAAGTGTGTATATATTAACTAAATATGTTTATGGGCCATGTGTAGAAATTTAAAATAAACCTTTAAAAAAAAACAACAATTACATTTGCCTCTAATGCAACACTGGGACAGACTTCTCATTAGATGTTCACAATATTTGGCTTCACACACTGGATGACAGTTATAGAATTTATTCTAGTCCGAAGCCCCTAGTAAGTGTCTCACAGCGACTTGTAGGGATGGAAATTGCTAAATGGAAACTGCACTGCTTTCAACAAGGCTGTAGAACAGGCCTGTCACTCCCCCAGTGTAGAATTAACTCTAAAACGTAACTAAGGTTGTTATTAGTGCTTAGTGTTCCTCTAAGCAGCCAGTTGCAATGATTCAGTGACCGGTTGTATTTAGAACTTGCCCAAGATGCTGGGAATGGGCAGTCACCTGAACTGTTATTACACAGTAAGAATAATACGTGTACAGTTTCTGGAGGTAATCAATCCTTGTATTCCATATTACGTTATTTGGAATTCCTGGTTCAAACAGATGTTACAGTTCTGTTATAGACAGAATACTAAGCTGTGAAATGTGTTCTTTATCCAAGGTTTTTGAAACTGTTCACATTCCTTCCACTTGAGGAGATTGAAAAAATAATGGAGCAACATGTGAAGGAGCCCGAGAAAAGGGTTCCCCAGAAAAGACTTGCTGCGGAGGTTACCAAACTCGTTCATGGCAAAGAGGGTCTGGAATCTGCCAAAAGGTAGCATTAGATTATCCTCACTATCCATAAGAATTGAGAAGGTTAAAGCTTCCTCAGCTGCAACATGTTTAAATGTGAAGTGGATTACACTTGGCCCCGCTTGCAGTAACAAGGTGTTTACCGTTACCGTTTACTTATTTCTGTTTTAGTCTTTAGCTCGGTCAACATAATTTGTACAATTGACAGCCATAACCATTATGGAGACATGTCTTCTGAAATTTTCCCTGTAAAAATTGTATCTTATGGTGGTAGCATATGTATGTGCAGTGTCACTGGTGACATTGTGTCAAGGCTGGGATTAGTAGTGACACTCCAAGAACCATGACGATTAGAACTAACTGTAGTAGTTATGTGGCAAGGTGTGTTTGGGCAAAGTAGTATTTACTAGCATCTCCATAGCCTCCAATTTCACTTTGACATCTGAGAAAATGGTTTGATAAAAAGTTGTAGGAATTCCAGTGCTTGGATCATTTATTGCCTGAAACTTTCAAATCTTATTGCACCAGCTGCCTACGTGTCAAATCCTGTTTAGCCACAGTTTGACTAAAATACAATGAATAACCATACATATAATTATTTCTGTCATGGATGCCCCTCATGTTCTAGATCTGTCATTGTTTATGTGATGGTTGGTTGTCTTCCAGGTGTACGCATGCTTTATATCATAGCAGAATCGATGCTCTGGAAGCCATGTCTGACCAGGAGTTGCAGGAACTCTTCCAAGAAGCTCCTTTTACTGAATCACTCTTTGAACCGGGTACTAGGGTACTGGATGCCTGCCTGGCCGTGTCTGCCATCCCGGAGGGCGCACGTGGGTAAGATTTAAGGTTGTGTCGGTTTACATTTACCTTGTGTGAATAGCACCCACTCCTCCTGAAACCCTCCAACAGGATTTTCAGGATCAAGCAAAACAAAACCAACCTACTTTGAAACTATTTCCAATTAAAACTGAAAATGGGGAGTGTGTGAAGCCTAATTAACAAAAAAAATTTGCAAACTATTCACCAACTTCCATATCTGATGTTTATTTTTTTTAAAGTAAATTCTATGTTTATATTGGTCATAGAGAGCCCCCTTCCAGCAGTAGGTGTAAAATCCTTCCTTGAATTCTTTGGAGGACATGGGATTCTTTGTATGATTGGGTGCATTCTAGTATAAATGAAAACATTTACTAGGCTTTCTTTCCTAACTAAATCCTCCCTGACCCCTCTGTACTATTTTCCTTCCTGATCCATAATGTGACTTTTGAAAACTGGTGCCCAAAATAAGTCTAAAATTCCAATTTTTTTTTTTTTTAGTTTTGATATCATCACCCGTGGCGGTCTGAGCATTAATCACCAGAAGATTACAAATCCAGATGAGATCCTGGTACCCGGGCAACATATTCTTAAAAATGGACTCTCGCTAATAAAAGTTGGAAAGAAGAACTTTTACATTCTGAAATGGCTGCACTTGATATGAGCCATAAATGTGGATGCCTCTTATTCTGACTGGGGTACTTTGTCAGAGAACACTATATTGTACTATTCTCACTGAGTGAGAACTGCTCTGTAAATAAATGACTGACTTATACACATGGTTTGTGTTGCCAGCTCAGAGTGCATGCGCCAATCAAGACAAGGGAGGGATTTTAAATTGAGAGAAGGAAAAAACCCACACATTCCCAATCCTGCAGTCTGGCATTACTGAGCGGAACCAAGTCTTTCCATCACAGGCTGTTGGGAGAGAATCTGTCTGCACACACTAAACACACACAGATATATGCACATAAGACTAAATTCTGCCATATTACAAAGCTTTTTTTTTTTTTTCCTGCAGCGTTTATCTGATTTCTTTATAAATACTGTATTCTGTTGGGTTGATGTAGGCAGATCTATTTATAATTTTGTGCTGTGTGGTAGAAAATATTCATTTAACAAAAAAAACCCCTCCATTTTATAAAGCATTCTGTAGACTTTGCCATAAAAATTTCACATTTTAAAAGGACCATTCTGCTCCCCAGCTTAGATTTCAGGTCATATTTGTATATAAACCATTACATGCTTAATTCTGCAACAATGCATGTCGAAACTGAAAGGAATTAAATAAACTGTGGGCCTAATTTGCATATACGTAGCCACAATACAGAATCATGGGAGTAAAAGACAAGAGTAACTCATCTGCGGTGTGCTACTAACAAGAAAAATGCTCATCTTAGAATGTCCCCATTTGAATCTTAAAGCTTCTGTAAACATCTGCTGTATGTACCATAAGATTGAAGACTTTCTATTAAATCTGCTCAAGTTTTATTCCCCATATGCCTTTCAATTTGCATACTGCTCTCTCACAGAAAGCTACACATCTGATGTATCCCATTAATGTCTGTACAAAGCCAGAGCTGATGTTTTTATCCTGTCTCTCCACCTCAGTTTTGTTGCATAAATCAGATATTGTGAAAATGAATCCGGATTTGTTGTTTTTTTTGTGTGCGATGGGACATTCCAGGCACCTACCGTGCAAGTCCACAATATATGGGTCTGATACTTTCAGACGGAAACCAGAGGACATAGGGCAGTGATCTGAAAACATAGGTTGACACTTTCTGCAGAAGCAGTTTATTTACAATGATAAACAGACATCTCAAAACATACATACATAGGGGTTCAGCATAAGAAACAATATTACCCGTGACAATAGCCGTTGACGCTAGCCATGGATATGTATTTCTGCGCTCAGGCCACCGGTTGTGAATCTTCCCCCTATGGTTTTCAGCTGCTTGCTCACAGACTGTGCAGAAGCCGACATTATGAATAATTCATTCCTGATCTTATGGCAGTTCCATTAACCTGTACATGGCAGGGAGATGGACAGAGCTGTGTAAAGTCCTGCCATAACCTCTGTGGCAAAGAAAGCAGTTAACGTGAGCGCCACAATACACAAATGCTACAAAATGTCCAGCAAGACACCTTTTGCAATAATTAAAACAAAAAAAAACTGTTACACACAGAAAGATTGCATTGTAATGGGGTGTGTTTAACTAGGTTGCTTTACGGGGCGATGCATCAGCTTTCTCAAGTCAGTAGGAACTTTATTTTGGTTTCCATGGTGACTGATCCACTTTTAGAACTTTCCCCCAGAATTCCTCATAATATTGATGAGACTGCTTGCAAACAATGTACGTCTGTCCTCTCTGCTGCAAAAACTTTAAATGTGTGTCGATGGGCAATTGCTTAGGGGCAAAACTGAAGATGTTTTTGTTTAATAGTAACATTTTCCTGGTTGCCAAATTACATAACTGAAATCTCTTTATTTAAAGGAGAGCCTGAAACTCTATGGTACCTCATAGCAGGTACTAAAGGCAGCTTTTTAATAACATCCAGAAGTTAAAGCACATGGTCACTGAGCGTCTTTGAATTAATTTAGTCCGTGCTAATTAGAATACAAAACACTTTAGAACACAAGGATGGATAAAAAAAAAAAAAAGCTTGGAACAAGTTGAAATGTAAAAAAAATAAAATTCAGACTGCACTATTAAAAAAGAAAATCTATTTAAGTCCTTGAGAGGTTGCTGCAGCATTCTACGGTTTCAATGATTAATATGTGGAGAGAAAAAAAAAAAAAGTCACCCTAAATGTTTAAGTGGACCCAGGGAAATATGTCCGCTGAATAAGGGATTGTAATGTCCCAGCATGCTTTGTGCTCCAATCACAATGTCACAATGTTAGATCAGCTTGAATCACAAAAGGAATTCAGGGTGGGAGAAACAATTGGACGTAATATTTATTGTGTGGATTGTATAGCTTGCTACATACAGCACATATTCCCTCTTTAATATCCATTCTTTCTATACATATTGAATGTGGTTAGAGGTTTTCATAAATAAAATTCTACCAAATGATCTTAGTCTAGGCCATTTCGTTTCAAGTTGTTTCCTTTCCTCCTGTTCTCCTCCTTTCACCACAGATGTGTTTCCCGAATTTCTGCAATAATCTGGCTCGCTCGCTGCAGGGCCTGCAAGGGAGAAAAGACGTAACCAAGTGTGACACTGACATCACAAACCGCAGTGCTAGCAATGGTCGGGCACCCAGCTGGCACATGTATCACTCATTACACGGAGTACATATATCCTGATGGCATCCTCAGTCAAACCTGGAGCCACGTCACATTACACACAGAACCTCGTACACACCCACGAACACACTCACATCATATAAAAACATACTAATCTCTACCCAGAGCTCTCCCCATGGGCTCCCTAACTTGCACCAGGAACCGTTTGAAAAAAAGACTCGTAACATATGAAACCTTGCAGCAGCCCCTGCTCTCTGAATTTACTTCCAATTTGTTAAGTCTCTTTTTTTTTTCCTTAAAGATACAGAATACATGCCGTCTATCCACAGGTCTAATTCAGACTAGTCTTACTAGAGCGCAGGTGTAGACTTCTAGTCACATATCCCCTGTTGAAGCATTTATTTAGTGAACAGACTGTCTCCATACATTGCTTGCTCCCACAATTGACCCCTCTAATCTAAATCACATTCTTTAGAACAGAAATATATTTGCTCCAGTAAGTTTAAAGGTATGTTCGCAGTTATCTGGATTTTTTCCCCCTATTACCTTTAACATATCCGCTGCTTCCTTTCTGCGCTGCGCCATGTCTTCGGACTCCGTTAGCAGGTCATCCAGCAGTAGAGATTTGTAGAGCTGGCCAACCAGCTCACTCTGCAAGGTGTCCTTCACGTGATTCACCAGAAAGTGCATCACAGCCTTTGGCACGCTGGGGACAAACAGCCTCAGTTAAACAATGCGGTAAGAAAAGGCCCCATTAGTTGGTTTTGGCTGATTTTTAGTTATATCACTGCTCCGACAAAAAAATAAACACATTTAACTGAAATCTGCACAACTTACAGGGAATAATATAAAGAATTTAAAAAAAAAATCTCATAATTGGAGCGACATTAATGAATGCACAACCCCACTTATAGCAGCAAATAAAAACCAAAACTTGGGAGATGAAAGCGTTTCACATCTGCCAAAATCCATCCGAGATCTCCAGAATACCACATGGGGGCGCTCATTCACTGCATGGTTTGTGCTGCAGTGTTACATTCCACTACTATTTATTACATTCATAGCTGTGTACATAAGTGTTTTACACAATCACAATGAGTGGACAAATAAATTAGTTGATGACTCTCCATATATACAAAGGTTATAAGGGAAACAAAACCAAAGGGAAGAAGAAACTATGGCTGAAGGTTTGCAAATTCAGGTTACAAAAGGTTTACAGTAAACAGATGATTGGTTAACACAGGATAAATAAAGTTAATGTAGACAAAGTCCTAGGGCCAGAAGGTATTCACCCATGCATGCTTTGGGAGCTTAGTGTATAAATATCCATATCACCACTTAAAATTTTCAGGATTCTTTTATTTCAGGAATTGTACCAGAGAATTGGAGAAAAGCAGATGTGGTGTTGATATTTAAAAAGGGTTCAAAAGCTCAAACCGTAAACTACAGACTCGTGATGTGGTTGGGAAATTAATTGAAAGGCTGGTTAAGGGATAATATTCAATAATTTATTTTGAACAATAATATTAGCAGGAAACAGCATGGTCTTAGGAAAGACAGGTCATGCCAATCTAACTTAATTGCGTTCTATGAAAAAAGTTATTAGCAATATAGATCACGATGATCTAGTAGACATGATTACTTGGATTTTGCCAAGGCATTTGATACAATTCCACACAAAAGGTTACTATTAAAACTGAAACCAGTTGGTTTAGATGGAATATTGTGTTCACTGGCTTAAAGAGTGTGGAGAGAATTTGTAAATGGAAAATATTTAAAATGGACAAAAGTGTTAAGTGGAGTGTGTCAGGGTTCTGTCCTGGGTCCACTTCTCTTTAATTCTTTTACATACGAACTTGAAGTGGGCATTGAAAGTCATTTGTCACACTTTCTAGATGACACAAAACTAGGTAGGAACATCCAGTCTGAACAGGATGTAACTTCACTACAGCGGGATTTGGATACATTGGGGGACTGGGCAGGCAAGTGGCAGATGAGATTCAATACGGACAAATGCAAAGTCATGACATTTTTTATTATAACCCCTTAAGGACACAATTTCTGAAATAAAAGGGAATCATGACGGAATATTCCCGTCATGTGTCCTTAAGGGGTTAAAGAAGGATATTGCAGAGCTACCAAACTAGTAATGGGGATGAACCTGTGTCTTATCTGCACTCATGTCGCTTTAACCCCTGTATCACAACTCAACTTTGAATTCTATGTATCGTCTTTGCTCAGAAATGCTTCAGACTTGAGAAAGGGAGGTTCTCCCAAAAGCTTGTCATTAAAAAATTCTGTTAGTCCAATAACAAAGGTATTACAAGATACGATTTTATCTGTTTTTTTTACAAAGATATTACTGATATGTATGTAAACCGGTTGCAATCCAATTGCCATTATGAAGTCAGGAAGGATTCTCCCCCCCCCCTTTTGTGGCATAATTGGAAATTACAAAAATTTGGATCAAAAGCATAAAAAATTTGTCTTTACAGTTCAACTAGATGGACTTTAGTCTTTTTTCAGCATAGACAATGATGTAACTATGAAAGGGTGTTTTTCCCCTTCCTCCACAAGAATAAAGTGGTTAAGTGCATATATTTAGAGTGAACCACTTTGTAATAAATGGAGATCTCTGACTTTAGCCGTGACAGACACAGTTTGAGTTACCCCACAAGGCAGCAATGGCTTCAGCAAACGTGGAGGTGGTTAATACCACAAGAAGGAACCGACAGAAATAGTCACTGAAAGTGTGAGCTCTTGGGAATTCTAGAATAAAACTGAAAACAGACGATTTGTGGGATTCTTTCAGTTCAGCTGGAAATTGTCTGGCCAAAAATTTGAAATCCAGTATGAATTCCTGAAAATTCACATAGTAAATAACCCTATCAGACTGTGTCCTGATCATCACTTCACAAGCTGTGATCTACCAAACACGGACCTTGAACATTTCCTGTTGGCAACGCTGCAAGACTGACACCTATTACCAGCTCTATATTATAGCACAGTCAAGTCTGGTCCCTGTCACAATGGTTGCTTAAAGTAACCAACCATCTGCATTCCAGAAATACGGTTTTGCTTTAGACAAGCTTTCCTTTTTTGTTGCAGCCTGAGATACCCAGCATCCTCCAATGCCCCCATGGCTATTCTGACAACTAGCATTAGACGCCCATTTCTCCGGTTGCAGTTTGAAGCTAACCATGTTCTACATTAGATCTAGAACACAAAATTTCAAGACTTGTCCATCGTTTGCTTTCCATTGTTAAGGGGCTTATTCACTAAGCATTCAATGATTTAAAACGCAGGGGCAATATGCAGGTCACTGGAGCCAAATCAAGTCTGCCAACGATTTTATTTCCTGTCACCTCATGGAGTATTAAACCTGTACGGTCATCCTCACCTGTCTTGAATATTCTTCCGGACAATAAGAAAAT